TTTTCCAGGAGTGAATTTTTATACTCCTTCTTTCTGGAATGCATTTCTTCACACAAGGTCACAAATATTAGACAAATCATACCCTAAATCTGTAAATGTCTGGAGGGCCAAGATTTCATCTATCATCTCTGTATCTTTGTTGCCTAATGCATAATAAATGCTCACTGGAGGCTGACAAGTGACTACAAGATTGTGCAGGGACTCACCCAGTGGCCAGGAAGGGTGACTTTTCTTCCTAAGAATAAGAAGGGCTCTTCTGTGATGTCATGTGGCTCGACTCCTGGTAGTCTCCTTCTGAGCACTGTGGACCATGCTCTATTTCATTTGCCTGAACTGGTCTCCCAGGACTAGGATGTCTGCTCTCAGTGAGGGCTGGGGTCATTGTACATCCCCAGTGTCTAACATAATAGACTTTTCATCAACATTTGTTGAAGAGAGGAAAAAGGGAAGGAAGATAGAAGAAGGAATAAGAAGAGTTTTCAAAACTCTCTCTGTGGCACAGTTTAGGCTTGGAGAGAATGTGGAGGATAACACCTTTATTTGTGAATGAGTCAGTTTTACCTGACTAGTCTAGAGGTCCAGAGGTAAGGTCTGTGTCTTTTTCTAAATCCTCACTGCCTACCATTGTGCCTCACACAAAATAGGATCTGAGTAAGGGCTAACTGAAGTAAGCAAAGGAAGGTGAGATAGATTTAAAACTGGAATCTGAATTTAGAAATTAAGGAACACTATACATCTGAAGAGAATAATGCAAAATATGTGGGGTTTCTAAAATATCCAGAATTTCTTAAAACCTGAGGGACTGATGCACTAACACAGTAACAGCAAAAAAAAAAAAAAAAAAAAAAAAAGAAGGAGGAGGAGGAGGAGGAGGGGAGGAGGAGGAGGAGGAGAAAATGGTGTCTGCTTTTTAAAAAATAAGTATTTGGGGATGCTTGGGTGACTCAGTCGATTCTCTGACTCTTGATTTCAGCTCAGGTCATGATTTCAGTGTTGTGATATTGAGCCCCATGTCATGCTCTGCACTCAGTGGGGTGTCTACTTGAGATTCTCTCTCCCTCTTCCTCTCCCCTACCCCTGCCTCCTTCATGCACACAATTAATTAATTAACAGATTACCTGTTTATTTACTTTCAAAGAAGGGTTCATCAAGGTGCCAGAAACTGAAGTCCATCTGTTCAGGACAGAGAACTATATCATGAGATAGGGATCTTTCTTACTGACAGCTTTGAGACCATAGTTTAGTGGAGGGGGGGAGGTAATATAGGAGAGATTCCTATTTTAGGAAGAAGGTTGATATGTGGATAACCTTTGGGGTCTCTTTCATTATAAAAGTATATAGTTTTAGCTAAAGTAATCATTTTTTGTTTCTCTTGGGAATTTACTATTTTGAACCAGACTAATATTATTGAATGACATTTAAATCTGGTTCCCCTAACAGTGGAAGTTGTGAATATCTGTCAATTATTAGGAAACATTGAATCTGCACTAGAAGTCATCTTAATCCACACTGTGGTTTTGAAAGCACGTTCTTAATCTGCAATTGTCGAACAAAATTAGATTGGTTCTTTAGCCCTCCCTCCAGTGTAAACACAAATGGAATATTTGTAGATGATTGGCATTCCTTGAGAGATACTGCACTTTTTAGGTAGAAATCAGTTAAGATGCCCCAAGGATTTAAATTATTTTTATGTCAGGAATTTACTATAAAGTTTCCTCTCCTGTTCTCCATCTATCCAACTTTGTCTCGTCCTTCCAGATCCAACTTTGTCATCTTTAATTTCCTTCTCACTGTGGCTCTTAGTGACCAGATTGCCAGATGCTCTAAAGACCTGTTTCTGCCTTTATTCATCTCCAGATTGCTTAACAAAAAATCTGTTTGAAAAATAGAGCTATCAGCTTTCCATTGACTAGTTAAGATTCTTCAGTTCAGCTCTAGAATAAACGATTATATCGGCACAAAAATAACTTCCTGTTAAACAAAGCACTTTGCATAGCACCATCTCTAGATTCAGAGGCAAACAAAGGAAACTACAAATCCATATGAACTATAGGCATGTTCATGTGCATATTATTTTAATTGGGCTAGAGAAATGTCAGATATGGAAATGGCACTTAATGTTCTGATATTAATGTACATTACTGCTTTGCAGATTCAAATTTAAGGGACTGCACTTAACAATGAGAATTGCTACCTATAAATAAGAGAAAGGATTTTGAAAACCCATGTCTACTCAGAGCATATATCATAACAGATACAGTAAGTTTGTATAGTGACTAGAAGGCTCTTTCTGTGCACTGTAAGTATTTTCTCTCTCTGTGTATGGTTCTCTGAATTGCTTGTCTAGTAAAAGAGTGGAATCAGAAAGAACGTTCTTCTCTCAGTGTTATATAAGGGATAGGTGGGCCCACTCCACTGACTGGAGCTCCTTGCTAATAAGGCTGTGGTTGGCACCAATATATGATTCCCAAGTGAGCCAGGCACTTTAAAGTAGTGGTTCTCAAAATTTTTAGTTTCAGGACCTTTTAAGAACTCTTAAAAAAAACTACTGAGGTCTCAATAGCTTGCATATTAATTAATTTTACAAAGAACAATGGTAAATGCTTTATATATTAACATCAAAGCAATGATATTATCACATGACATATGACATCTGGAAAACACTGTATAATCATGAGAATGAGAATGAAAAGAATGACAGTATTATCGTGAAAAAGATTTTGCCCTTTAAGGCCCTTGTGAGGGTCTTGAGGACCATGTGGCTAAAAATTAAATCTATATAGAAAGATTGTAAAGAGAGAGAAAAAAAGAAAGATAGCCAACCAGCCTGGAAACCTTATTTCCAGATATCAAGATAGATACTGATCTTCCTGCAAGAAGCATTCTTCGAAGTGAAGTCAGAGGTCTTGATTTTAAAACAAAGTTGTATGTATGTCAGGTAGGTGAAGAAGCTGGGTGGCAAATGCACTTTTCATTATCTTGGGACCTTGGCCGTAAAGGCAGTTCATCAGCAGGAAAACCTGCTGAAAACTGGAGACGCCATCCAAGCCAGGTCAAAGGTGCAGAACAGCACTGAAGGAGTATGTGCTTGCCCCATCAGACTGGAGGAAGTCTGGAGGGTTAGCGAGACACTGATCCCCTGGAGCCTGCCTGCCCACAACTAAGCCTGGTCCAGAGCCACACCGGCAAGTTGGAGGAGGTCAGGATATTCAAGATAGTCCTGATATCAGGGACATAACCTGGGGATAGTTCTAATGAATGGGGAATTAATTCTATTTCAAATGTCAATAAATCATGAGCTAGAAGGCTTATGTAATTCTACCAGCTAAGTTAAATACTCTGAGGATATGCCAGAGACATGCTGGAAATCAGTGTCCAGGAATGAGTTGGATGTTAAAACCCAAATCTGAAGATGAACTGTAAGAAAAAGCTATTAAATATATAGCAGGCCAAAATGGCCAAATTAATAGCATAATTCAGGGTGACATCGTAAAAGTAAGGAGATATAATTAGTTCATTATAATTCTGTTTCTGACAAGTGATTTGGAAATTGAGAGGGAGTGGTCCTTCCAGTGCCTCCTTTTTTATACTTAAATCATTTTCAGAAACAGTTCTCCCTCCCTAGACTACAGGTGTGGATATCTTAATATGACCAAATTAATTGTATTTTAAAAAATTAACTCCAATTCCCAGAGATTCAGATAAGCTGGAGTGCGTTAGTTGACATTTTCTAAAGTCCCAGGTTTCAAGGCTAGATATGTTCAATACTAAATGCTTAGTCTTTCTAGTTCTTTTATGGCCCATCAGTCCAGGAGATGGAAAGCGATGTTCCTTACTGTTTTATGTAGCCGTATCCTGCTGGTTGTTCCCCACCTCCGGAACCATTAAGCCGCAAAAACTCATCATTTGTTAGTAGTGCTTCTGAATTATTCAGGGAGATCCTTAACCAAAATAAATGATGACTATTACATCCAATTTCTCCTCTTCCCTACTTTCCCATCTCTTTTCCCCTTGGGCAGATCTTCCAGACTTTCAAGCTTATGATCACTTTTAAAACAGGCAGGGAAAATTGCATACCCAAATAGTTGTGTTGCATTTGGGCAGTGCTTAGTCTGAAACATTTTTTACTTCCAGTAAAAAATGGAAATGTGGAAATGGGCATTTGTTTAATAGCGCTCATCCAAGCTTTTTTGTGATCATCTAAGAAGTATTGAAAGGACTCCTGTTAGAATAAGATTGACCTTTTAATTTGTCTTGAGGCTAATGTTTGTATTCAGTGTCCATACCAAGCTACCTCCTCTTTTGCATGGTTTCTCAGTGCTGTTGCTGCATTTACCCAGAAATCTCTCCCTTTGAGTCCTGACAGATCTCTGCTTCCTGCTCAACCCTTTTTCTCCCTCCCCTCTTCACATTCAGTTCAGGAATCTCTTACTGGCCAGTCAGCATCTTCCATCCTTCTCAAATCTATCCTCTGTGAACACCAAAGAGAAGAAATAAGAAATGGTCAAAAGGCAATGGACCCACAGATGGGGAGAAATAAGTCAGTAGGCCATTGCTTTTCATTATAAATGCTCCAGTTAAACTTTTTGATCATATACTTATAGTACTTCAGTGAAAGTGAATCATTTCATCATTCTTGATCACTCCAGAGTGGTCTTACAAAAACATTGATATGACCATGTTATTCTTCTGTTTAAAACCCTTTGATGGTGCCTATTGCCTATGTGATACCAATGTAACTACAGTTATATATTCGTCTGCTTCTGCACACACTGTTCTCTCTGCCAGGAATGTAGGTTCTGTTTGTAAGGATCTTGGTCATTGTGTCAGAATCTTTTATCTGGACATGGGTTTTGCATAGGACCCCATGGCTGCACTGGCCTAGTCGTGACAGGGTGCTGAGTAGTGCTCTGCCCAGGTGGAGCAGGGATGGGTCGGTCTTATGTACACTGAGGTAGGCTAATGAAATCCTTTGGGCTTACTCTCCCTGTTTCCCACAGCAGTCTGAGCTGTCAGCCGAAGAAAGTCCAGAAAAATTAGGAACCTCCCAACTACATCGTCGAAAAGTCATCTCCTTGAACAAACAGATTCTGCAGAAGACCAAACATCTGGAAGAGGTTGGTGTTTTCTTTTTATATTTTAATTCAAGTAAAATGAAACTATTTTTCAAGGGAGAAACTAGTGAAGGAGTGAAGATCTTCATGTTAGAATGAAGGCTCAAGAACAGGAGTTAGCATACGGCAGCCCTTGGGCCAATCCAGCTGCCACCAGTTTTCATAAGTAAGGTTTTATTGGGATACATGCACATCCATTTTCTGTGACTGCTTTCAAGCTCCAGGGGCAGCACTAAGTAGTTGCAGCAGAGACCACGTGGCCCAGAAAGCCTGAAATATTTATTATCTGGCCCTTTCCAAATGTGGCTCACGAAACCTAAAATATTTACCATCTGGCCCAAACTGAAAAAATTTGCCAACCTCTGTTCTAGAAGATCACAATACAAGAATAACATTTATTGATTCACAAATGTTCACTGAACAGTGCTCTATGCAGGCACAAAACTAGCTGTGGAGATGAATGAAGAACAGGTTATCCCTGCTTTCAAGGATCTTAAGGTAGCACTGAGCGAACATATAATAAATACATCACATACAACGTCATTTAATTATAGCTGTGATAAGTGCTTGAAGGAGATATCTAGGAGGCTAAAGTGGAGAGACTTGACTTCAGCTGAAAAGATGAAGAGGTGTTTGCTGGGGAGGAAATCTGTGGAAAGTATGTGGGGGCTTAGGTGGGAATTTATGCAACAACATGAACCAAGACCTAGGAGAGGAAGGGTGCTGTCCAATTTCTGTTTTGTGGCTAGAGAATCGTGAATGATGCAGTTGGTTGGCAAAGTCTAATCAAACAGGACCTCCTAAGCCCTGATAAGATCACTGGAAGCCATTGGAAGGTTTAAGTAAGGGAGTGGCATGATCAGATTTGCATGTTTCATATACCATTCTGTTTGCTGTTTGAGCATGAATTAATTGAACTAACCATTAGGATGCTGATCCAATAGTCTAGACCGTTGATGGCTTTCCACAAATGGAGGAAACAAGATCATTTTTAAGGGCATGTTAGGGCATGGTATTCTGTAACCTTGGTGATGGATGGAACTATTTTAGGAAAACCTCCCTGTATTCATTCCGGAAAGTAGACATAAGAGACAACTATGGAGTTTGACTCAGAAACAGTCAATATAGGATAAAAAGTTGTTACATGCTTTAGTTCCATTGGCAATAAGCTTTAATTAATTAGAAAAGCACATGTGGCAGAAGATTATGGGAATGAATATGGCTTGATTTCCAAAAATATGTGCCACTTGATGTTTTGAACATGTATATTTTTTACGTTTCCAAGTCCCACCTATTCAAAAGATGTTAATACATCAAATGGTCTTGCTCATTTTTTGTTTGAATTTGTTCTATTAGAATTTGTTCTACCATAGTTGAACAAAACAGTAGGTTGGTTTTACCAAAATGCCCTGGATCATAAGCAAAACAAAGATGCAAGGATTGACCGTGTCTTGATTTCAGTTTGATAATTTATTTAGACATTTTAATTCTTAGCTCAGAGCTTATTACTCCTGACCTTTGCCATTGTGATAAGAACCTGAAAGTGATTGGTTCAAAAAAAAACTCATCACAGAATCAAGATGAGCATGAACCAATGATGCTTCTTTACCATAATGTCTTTATCCTCATGAGAGAGGATAGTTTTGAAGATACTGCAGACTCCTTGAGCCCAAAGTATCTGAGCATGAAAAGATGTTTCTCTCCCATTTAAATTTTGGGAGAAAGAGTGCTAAACTTCATTGCAGTGGCAGTCCTGGAATATTCTTTTTTTTTATTTTTTTTATTTATTTATGATAGTCATACAGAGAGAGAGAGTGAGAGAGAGAGAGAGGCAGAGACACAGGCAGAGGGAGAAGCAGGCTCCATGCACCGGGAGCCTGACGTGGGACTCGATCCCGGGTCTCCAGGATTGCGCCCTGGGCCAAAGGCAGGCGCCAAACCGCTGCGCCATCCAGGGATCCCCAGTCCTGGAATATTCTTAGTTCAGCTGAAAGGGCAGTCCTTTCTGACCCTTGGGTCTATTCTGCAGTTGGTCCAGAACTGTGTTTACCATGAGCCTGTTATTTTTCGAGCACACTGCCTATATGTTGCACACTCTGTAAGGGACAGCAGTGATTATTGCTGCAAGTAGTGCTGTTAAGGATGACCAGCATGTGCAGTAGTCCCTGGCCACATAACTAGCTACCTGGATGAGGAAAATGAGATAGGGAGGGAGAGATTTGCCCAGGGTCACATATGAGTTATGAGAGTCACTCATAACCTATGAGTTAGGGGGTCTCAGATGATGATTAGAAGAGAGAGCTCTTCAAGAATGAAATGAAAATATAAACAGGAATGAACTTTTGATGAACCAAAGCTTTATGCAGATATAAGGAATGAAAGATTAAAAAGTTTCTCAAATAAGTGTAGAGGTGAATGTTTTATAAAGATTAAAAACCAGCATCAGCATTTTTGTCAACACTCTTCTGAAAGTGATTTGAGCTTTAAGAATATGCCTTTTTTGCCAGATAACTTACTAATAAACCCATTTTAATTTGCACCATCCAATCAAAAAAAAAAATCTGCAGCCACTGAACTTTGTTACTAAGGTTTAAATTTGAATTTGCTCCTCTACAAAAGGTTGCCTTTTCCTAAGTTTGCCCTTCTACAAAAAAGTTGCTTACCTCTGGGCTTGCTGGTCTGCAGAGTTCTTCACCTTCTAGTAGTTTCTGAATCTGCCAGTGGTTACAGGGGCAGCAGCCAAGCCTCTTGTGCAAGAATCCAGGTCCCTGGAGCTTCAGCCCCAGCTCCTTCCCCCGCCACCCTCCTGGACTGCCTCCCTGGCCACCTCACCCAGCCCTGTACATCCATCTCACACCCACTTCTTGTGGGGCGCTGAACAGCAAGTCATCATGAGAGAGCATATATTCCACACCTGTGTGTGTGTGTGTGTGTGTGTGTAGGTCTGCCACATGCATTTTTTTGTCTCTTTCAATTTTTAATAGCTTCAGCCACTTTAAAAAAAAAACTTATAGGTATTATAGGTATAATACAAGCTCACTGTAAATAAACCAAATAATGTAGAACTATATAAAGATAAAAATGAGGGACACCTGGGTGGCTCAGTGGTTGGGTGTCTGCCTTTGGCTCAGGGCATGATCCCGTGATCCCGGCATCAAGTCCCACATTGGGCTCCCTGCATGGAGCCTGCTTCTCCCTCTGCCTGTGTCTCTGCCTCTCTGTGTGTGTGTCTCTCATGAATAAATAAATAAAATCTTAAAAAAAAAAAGATAAAAATGAAAGTTCCCTCCCCCCCCCCCAAAAAAAATAATAAGTCTCCTTTTTCTCTTTGGAAAAGCCACTGTTTGGGGAGACCTTTGCAAACACATATTTGTCCATTCACCTGGAGAGAATGTGTTGTCGGACTACAAATTCTAGGTTGTTTTCACTTATTCTATTATAGATATCTCTCTGTCAGTAATAATAATGGCTAATACGGACTTTTTTACTAAGTAATTACAAAGTACTTTTCAAAACTAATGCAGTCTTTTCACACAACATCCTTCTAGAGGAGGTACTACTATTATCCTCATTTTATGAATAAGGAAACTGAGACACAGAAGTGTAGTAGTTTTGCCTGTGACCACACAGCTTACTAACGGTGAAACCAAACTTTTATACAGATGTACCTCATTGTTTTGAATTGACTGCATAGTATGACATAGTGTGTATGTACTATAATTTACTGTACCTGTCCCTTCCCCTGTTCATGGGTATGTAGGTTGTTTCAGGGTTTTCCCCCACAACTGCAAATCTATGCTACCATGAACATCTTTGTACAGTTGCCTTTGTGCAAATATGTATTTGTGGAAGATAGATTTTAGAAAGTGGAAGTGCTAGGTCAAAATATATGCATTTTCTATTTTCCTAGAAACCAGCCAATTATTCACCAGTCATTTTACCAATTTATACTTCTACCAGTAGTGTATGAGAGAATCCAAAACCTTTAAATCCAAGAACTCCTGTTCCAAAGTCATACAGGTGGAAAGCAACCAAGATGCACTCATGGCCTCAGTGACAGCCGTAAGGAGAGTCCTAGCCCAACAAAGAAATGGGAGGAGGGGCAAAGCAAGAGAAGGAGTAAAGAGTATCTTGTGGTCTGACAAGGGAATGTGCTGTGGAGGCATAGACTGGAACAAAGCTAGTAGGTAGCTGAGCAGAAACTTGAATTGAGGGGGGAAAGGGGAATCAAGAGAGGGAATGGTAACCCGCTGCTAATTTTGGGGGTAGGTCTAAGGGTTAATAATGAAGAAGAAAATGGGAGTAGGACAATCATGAAGGATTCCAGCAAGATGAAAAGTAAGCTAAGCTATTGGTATATCCCCTGTTTGAGAAAAGATGGCCCCGTGAACTGATAGATGAGAGCTCTTATTAGTTAAATTAATTAAAGAGAAGAGATGAGTCTTCCTTTCTTAGCAAGCTATGTCCTTACCAAGATCCACCCACATGAGTCTTTGTTGTGAAGCCGTCCTTAGACTCCCCAATGAGACAGACTTTTTCCTTGGGCCTCCCCTGGGCCTGGCTCTGCCCCAGCTAGTCTCATACTCTAATCCCTGGTTTACTGGTCCAGATCCTTGCCGGCAAGGACTGTGTCTCGTTCATCAACTCCTCCCACACACCTCATGTGAGTGGAGCATTCAGTAGATGTCAGATGGGCAGCTGGATGGGTGCATTCATGAGAGGTGGGCAGGAATATGGGAAATGACAGGACCCCTTCCTGGAGCCACAAAAGAACTTAAAAAGTTTAACTGCTCATATTTCAAGAGAAAAACTCTCCACAAATATTCTTCTCTACCAGTTATAGGTCAATGAAAGTCTCATCACACAGATGGCCTCCTTTGCAAAGGGAAAAGCCAGAGCCCACCTGCTCCCCTCCTTTATCACTCTTGCTCTCTACTTCAGTTGGCTTCTTGATAGGCCATGTTGGAAATGTAACCATCAGTCATGAAGACTAACTAGAAGCATGGTTTAGAAGCAATGATTTCTGAAGGTGGCATAATTCTTAATGGGTTGCTTACATGTTCAGGGATGGGGCAAGGTATTTTGAAGCAATCACTGAGAGTCTGGATAAGATTTCTCATTGTTAATTTGTACACAGGTAATAGCCAGTCTGATGTCATTTTCTGCCCCTTCCCCTTTTCAAAAGTGGAAATGTACAAACCCTTTGAGCTCTTGATTAATGTTTTCAGATTTCTAAAAGTTCACAAACAGCACAAGGATATATCTTTTAGTGAGGAAAAGAGAAATGACATTTTCCTGATGACAATTTACAATTTTTTAACTTTGAACAGTAAAAGTAAGTCATTTTCTATCTCTTAGTGTTGAAGTCCTGAATTCTGTCTTCAATCTCAGATTGTTGTCAACCAGTTGTATTCTGTGCTAGAATCCCGGGTGCTGAAATGCAGTTTATATTCTGAGTACAGGCACATTGGTTAAGTGAACGGACTATAGCTGTACAGAAAAGTCAGACCTGGATTCGAATCCTGGCTTTATCAGTTAACAGCTGTGAAACTTCCTTTGAGTAACTTAACCCCTCTGAGTCTTTATTTGCTCATCTGTAAAACAAGAAAAATGTCTTCTTCCATCAAATATAAGGATTTAATGATAGGATTTGTGCAGAGTATCTAGTTTGTCACCTAACATGTAGTTGCTCCTAATTATATGAAGTTTTTTTCACTTGTCATCGGCAACCGTTCTGAAATTCCCCCATTGGCTCAGTTACATCTGTTGAATTTCCATTTTCCCATCTGTGATATGGGAATACTACCCACAGCTGTGCTGTTGTGAGGATTGAATGAGAGCAGGTATCTTTTCCCTTTCTTTTACAGCTGCAGGCAAGTCATACCAGCCTACAAGCCAGATACGATGAAACAAAGCAAACTCTGACAGAGGTGAGTAGATTTTCAGAACTGCTTTTGACCTGCACCACTAATGGAATGCCCTGTGTCGTCAGTCTGTGTGGAGGAGTCACCGTCCCCTTCTCAGGACACAGGGCCACCTGGGGATGCAGGACAGACACATGGTGGTAGTCCATGACCCCTGCCATCAGTTTATCCATGCTGCCATGTTTAAAAGCCTCTGATCTTGGCAGGAGACCTTGCCATGGGCCCTGAGGCCCAGGAAGGGCTTTCTGAGGGAGGGCAGCCTGATGGGCAGAGCGAGGACTACATAGAGCTTGAAGTTCTGCCCACGGAAAGTGGGCCCTGCTCCTCTGCAGCCTACAAACAGCAGATTGTAGAGTATCTTCAAAATACTGAAGTCCTAAAGAATGAGAAGGTTTCTTTTTATAAGATAAGAGAACTATAGAGGGCTGTAACTGGTTGTTCAGGATTGCTGGTTTTCTCCTCTGAGGGATGGGGGAGAAGGTCTCAGGAGGAGGAGGGCGGTGGGTGTATTTCAAACCACATGATCTCTCTAACCTGGATTTCGAGTGTGCCATCTCCCATCAGTGTTACAGTGTTGTTTACCTCCCACTTCTCATTGCCTAGGCAACCAGGCCAGGGAAACAAATGCTTTTGATGCCAGCTCTGTGAGGAGGGAAGTGGAGATATTTCTGTCTCATGTTTCCATAGAAAGCTATCCTCATCTGGATCTGGAAAGCTCTCTCCATTGTGATTTTGGTACTTGAGCTCTGGCTGTCCTCTACAAGGGCCTCATACGGGGAGGGGGGGTGCTTGTACTTTGTGAACCATATGGAAACAGGACTGATCTTCAAAGGCCTCTCTGAAACTAAGGCAGTCCCCTCTTCTCTTTAAATTTCACATTCTTGTTTCTGTAGCAGTATGTAACACTCAGTTCACTGCCTTGCTGTCAGCCTGACAAAACTTTTTAATTCTGACCTGGGCTAGTCACTTCAGTTCTTGTCGGAATGTTTGAAAAGGGCAGGCAAAAGAATGGGAGTTAGAATGAATTTTTTTTCCTTCTTTCCAGAGATGTCTGTGTTGCATTTAGACAGAGGAGCTTTCTTTTACACTGTTCGGGGGCTACATTCCTATGGGTTGGATGGCAGACTCCTGGGGTGGAACCCCTGCTGTTGTCTAAATGTTAATGCCACAGAGTGCCTGGCATGAAGTTTGCCAAGTCATGGATCAGTCTTTGTATGACCATCTGGGAAAGATTACAAGCAACACGTCTTGATATCAATTTCCTAAGACAGTTACATGCCTTAGGATATAAATCCTAAGTGGCTATGAAGTAATTTTCTTTGTATTAAACACTAAATCAGGTATTTCTTGAGCTCTTTTCATGTGCTGGAAAGGTAGGGAATGTAATTTAAGTCAACAATAGGAGATAGTCTTATCCTCAACAAATAATAGCAGTTTACTGGGCCACGTGTGCCGGGTGTGCTCTGGGCACCTCACTTGTACTGGTCCCCTGACCTTCCGTAACAATGCTAGCAGTGCGGGTAGCATCCCTGTTCTGCAGATGGGGACACAAAGCCATGCAGAGGGTGCCAGAATCCCACACTGGCTGTCTGGCACCTGAAGACCTCTCCAAGAGCTCACTATCCAGTAAGGCAGTCATACTAAGTCCCATCTAGGAAAATGGGAAGATGTCCCAAACTTCATGTTTAGCAACTTCTGAAGTAGCCTGACTGGTCAGAACACTGAAGACCAGACCCCCAAATAAGTAATGAACCTCACCTTTGGGCCTCAGCCTCCTTATCTGTTCAAGTCAAGGATTGGGCAAAACGAGCACTCTGACCTCTCTCCCCCCAGTGTGCCCTGGTTCACCTTCTCAGCGATACCTGCCCTCCCAGGGTAACCTGGTGGCACTGAAAAATAGAGAAGACATTGAGTAAAGTATAACAAGGCAAGGAAGGCCAAGGACAGGTGACAGCACATGACACCTGCAAGGAGACTGTGTGCCCGTATATTGGTGGGCTCCCCGGTTCTAACCTGTCCACTTTTCAATTTCAGCAATCACAACTTGAATTTCCCGTGTGTGAGGTTGATTCTTTGTAGTATATGCAGTATTCTCTCCCATTTCTCTAAGGGCATTAATTGTGTTTCAAGTTTTTCTTGATCTATAAACCATTTCTTCAGATCAAAATTCATTTGTTCAGTTTTCTTTCTCATTTGTGGTTTTATCTTTCTTCAGATGTTTGATAATTCTTGGTGGTATGCTTATCTTTGATTCTGAAACTTCCTGTTACCAACTGTGTGGATTCTCTATCCATTTCATGCAGCCTGCCCCCATGTGATTATTCTGGAAGTGTGGTTCTACTGTTGGCTGAAATCAGCCAGTAGTAAGTGGTACTTGGGGCCTGGGCACTCCACCTTTCTCCTGGATCTTGCTGATTCTGGGAGCCTGCCTGCCTCTGGGGTTTGAACTCCAGCTCTCAGTCAAGGGAGCCAGGCTTCACTGCATAGCTCAGCTGGCTCTCCTACTGAGATGCCAGCCCTGCAGACATCCTTTCTGTGTCTACTGATCCTACACAGCAGGCCTCCTCAGCCCTTCCTCTCTATTGGCCATCTTCTTGTCCCTAAGGTACCTGCTTCTGTGTTTGAGGGTAATTGAGTTTTTTTAGGCCTTCAGGCAAGAAGGGCTGATTGCACCTTCTGCTCTTCTGTTTTCAGCTAGTTCCCTTGGAGGTTTTTTGACTTTTTTTTTTTTTTTTGGAGTGGTAACATAATTCACAGGGTTCAGAATTCAAAAAGTACAAAGGTTGTACCACTGTAACCCAACTATATAGTTACCATCTCCAGAGGGTAATCAGTCTTTTGTGATTGTTTTCAGAAATACTATATGCAGATACAAGTAACATATATATCCTTTATACATGTATACATTCAGTGTACACATTCCCTTACACACCTTGGAAAAACATGGAATCGATGTTTTTTATACATTCTTCCAGCTAACAGTAGATACTAGAGATCATAAAAGAACTGCTCTAGTCTTCCTTTTTTTTTTTTTTAGCAGCTTCACATTCTGTGATACCACTGTATACCTTAAAAATGGAAATCTGAATTTCTTTAAAATTTCTTTTTTTAAACCCTGACTCAGAAAAAGAAAGTGAAATTATTCAAGAAGATGGATTTAACCCTACCCCTGCTAATAGCCATAACAATGGTATCGGGGAATTTCAGCCAGGTCTGTCTCTCATAGCCTCATTTTATTTCCCCCTGCCTACAGATCTACCAGAAAGCACCTGCTCTCAGCATCACTTTTGGCTTTCCACCCATTTGCTGTTGTGATTTAAAGCTATTGCCTAGGTTTCTTTTACCAACAGAATGTGTCTAAACGGGTCTGATTTTGACCTTACCATGTTGTACTCCCCACCCCCATCCTATTTCTCTTGCCCACCTATTTACTCAGTGTACAGCCAGATCCGGTGAGCTTGGCCAGCTGCCAGAAGTGGGGCACAGATGTGAGTCGAGGGAGGGAGGACAGAAGTTTTCACTCTTCTGTCCTCCAAGTCCCTACCAATAGCACCTCCTCTCTCTCCCTCAGCTGAAGAGTTACAGTGAGAAACTGGACAAAGAACAAGCAGCCCTGGAGAAGATAGAATCCAAAGCTGATCCAAGGTAAGAGGTTTCAGCATGTTTATTTTCTCCTTGAAGTAACTCTGTCAGTGCCTCGTGGTTTATTTTGTTTGAGCACAGGACTAAGGAACCAAGGATCATTGCTTCCACCCCCATGCAGGTCATTTCCTTTCACACGCCTGAGCCACGCCTGGTCACTCCCCATTGCTCGAGCACATGCCAACATGTTGGGCTGCACTGAGCCGGCCACCTCCTTCTCCTGATTTCCCTTGGGAGCAGAAGCAGCACACTTTTAGCTTTGCTTTTGCTTTTTTTAGTTTTCTGTTTTTAAGAGCCAAATAGTACATCCACAAAACAAAAAGGCATGTCAGCCCTGTACCCAAGCCACCCAGGTCTCCTCCCTGGAGTCAACCCTTGCTACCAGCTTTTTTACTGGTAACACTTCAGCCCTGCCTCTTTGGATTAAAGGTACAGTTTTGTGGGTTGTTGGGTTTTTTGTTTTGTTTTGTTTTAAACCAAGAAACAGCTGCTGGGCTTTTTTTTTTTTTTTTTATTATTAATCGTCTTTAACAACTTAAATTACACATAAGACACACTTACATTTGACCTTTTTTAGCACCAAAGCAGTTAGGTGGTTAAGTATCACTCCCTTGAATGATACTTTACATCATAAAAAGCTTCAGGCACAAATTCGGCAGTCTTAGATTTGAAGGACATTTTTAGCAAAGAAATACCCACAGATTACTTGGCTTTATAATTAGAAACCCTTCTTTCAGGATAGAGAGCAAAGTACTGTCAAATACTTGACATTTTTATTTTCAAATTAATTCTTTTAATGACCCTGAGCAATTTGTTCCCTTTTTATGGAAATTAGAAATGGTTTGTGATACTGTCTGTGTTCCGAGTACTGTTGAATAATCAATGCCAAGGAGATCCAGGACTCTTGAAACTCATTGATGTTTCTGCAGTTGACATTTTAATTCTGGATTCTGTGATGTTTGTTTGTTTGGATGTGGCCTGATGGACTTGGATATATAAATGAGTGATAATGTCAGTTAAATAGTAGTCATTATCATTTGTGGAGAACCCATTAGACACCCTTGGGAGAGACAAAGGAAATTAAAAGTTGGGGACTTTATTTTAGCTGTGATTCATAAAATCATAACGGCTTTCCATATGTCATTGTTTGGTCTTCTCTCTTTAGTATCCTGCAGAACTTGAGAGCACTCGTAGCCATGAATGAAAATCTGAAAAGTCAGGAACAAGAGTTTAAAGCACATTGTCGAGTAAGTGTTGCCTGATGTCAGCAGACCTTGAACCAAGACTCATGTGAAATCTCTTACCTTACTTCCACTTGTCCTGTCATGGCATCCTACTCAGGTGCCATGGAAAAAGTAGATTCATGGAGCAGCTCTGTCAGTTGCCTAAGATGAATAGGGTGCTATAGTAAGTGGCCCCCCAAGGGCACTGGAAGTGAGTTAGATTAGTGACTGGGCATGCCAGACTCCAAATTGAGAGCACAGTCTAACAAACACTGTTTTCTGATTTATAGACATACATATATTTAAAAGTCTTATTAAGTGTGACTTTTGCTCCTGGTGGTCCAGCAGAGGGGTGGTGCAGGCACAAGTCCATTTACTAGCTTGTCTGAGTTTTATAAATGTTCATTTTGCTTTTAAAGGAGGAGATGACACGGCTGCAACAGGAAATTGAGAACCTGAAAGTTGAGAGAGTGCCAGGCGGAGATGAAAAGGTAAGTTCAGGCTCTTAGAGGAGTCTTCAAGACTGTTAGGTGCTGTTGTGCCTTATTGGTGGAAGGATTTCTGGAGGACTACCCAGCAAAGAGACTGATGCTAAAAAGGACCGGCCAGTTTCCCATAACCTGGGCCTGTGAACACACATTTCTTAACTGTTTCCATCACAGGATTTTCTTAGGTTTCCATCCCTCTCTTTTCTCTTGCAAGGGTAGGTAAAAGGCAGCAGTGGGGGCATGCACAGCAGACAGGAATAACTACATTCCAAGCCTGACCTTTCCCACCACTTAGGGAAGGGGTATTTCTAAGAACCTTCTGAGCTCAGTTTCCTGTGCAGCCTTTCTCTAATTGTTGTACCAATTAATTCATTTCATCCTCTGCTCCTGCCTAGGGACATGTTCCACCCCTGAAAGGCAGCAAGCAGTAAGCAGGAAATAAGATCTAGTGTCAGAGCTCCAGCAGCACCGGAGCATTACTGAACTTATGGAACAGTTCAGACCAGCTGCCCTCAGGACAGGACAGAGGACTTGCTCTTCCAAGGAGCTAGTGTGAATTGCCATTAAAAGTTAAGTTAAAACACAGGCCAGAAAGAAAAGCATTTCTCTCGCCAAATAAGATTGTAGAGATTACCATTTTGTTTTCCCTTCTCAAAGCTCATTCCCTGAGAGCCTTGTGCGGAAGCTGTGTGAGCTGGACGAGGCCTCAGGTTGGCGCGTTGGCCGAGCCCTCTGCCTTGAGAACTCCACCTCAAGGCTCAGGGAGGGGAAAAGACCGCTTCAGACCAAGCAGCACCCATCCACATGCCCTCCGCTCGGGGACCCTGACCCTGGCTGTGCAGGACATATGTCTTGGAGGTGCCTCAGCAGTGGTAGGACAGGACTAGCACGGAGTATTAGCAGAGTCTGACTGAGCAGGGCAGTGGTGCCCCAGGACCATCATCACACACATAGCCAGCCTTTCTGGTTGTTTCTAAAACTTTGAGCCTTTGGGTCTCAAATCATCAGCCTGTCAGCCTCTGAGTTTGTACAAATTAGACTTTCAAGATCCTATTCCTCTTCTTAGCAATCACATCTTGTTAGAGGGACTATTACATCCAAAGACAGTTGCAGTTTAGCTTGTTCATGTGTGACACACATTTAAGAACAGTTTAAAATCTGGGGCCCAAAGAGGTGGTCAGTGAACTAACTCCCACCCCACCCACACCCCTTCCTACATGCAGAACCATAGCTTCTGTCCCATTTGCCTTACTCAGTCAAGTGTTTGTTACTTTTCATCATTTCAGACCCTGTCTGCTGGAGAGCCACATGGTACCCTAACCCCTGTGATGACTCATAATGTAAGTACCAACCCATTCTCAGGACTGCCATTGTCCTCTGTGGGAGTGGCAACCAACTTTGTACCCTCCCCTGACACTTTCTCATGCCTACTTTAATTTTCTCTGTGACCACCACTTCGTGTGCAGGCTTTCAGGGGCACTGTCTCATTGTCCTCACAGAGCCCCTCAGATGGAAGCAGGTTCTCCCCAGGGATGGCCCTGAAGGCCACCATTCTGGTGGGTTTTCTCCCAGCACTTTGTGTGAGCATTCTCTGTCTGCTCTGGCATCTCAGCTGAGGAGAGGAGAAGCCTGCATTGGCCACACATGCTGGTCACAACACATAGGCTGTTGTGAGGGGTAGAGGTGGGGCAGGGGGGAAGACTCTCTTTTGTACTTTGTTCCAAGGTCCACAAACTGTAAAGGGCCAAATAGGAATTATTTTCAGCCTTGTATGCCAACCCCACTATAGCACCCATGCTCAGTATGTAAATGAAAGAACATGGCTATGAAACTTTATTTACAAAAATAGGCAGTGTGGTCATTTTGGCCCAAGAGTTGTATGGTGTAGCTCATGGACAGTAGTTTGCTGACCCCTGTTGTGAGTTAAACCATTGCTCCCAGAACTCCAACAAACATCCAGGAGAAAGAAAAAAAAGCAAAAGAAGAGCAAAGCAGGACAGCCTGTAAACATTTGCCTCTTTTAATGTTTGCCTCTTCCCTTTGTCCCCTCAGACTCCACTAGAGAATGAGCTTCAGGACTCCTGTAGTACAGTCGTTGGGTTGGTGTGCAGCTGAGCCCTGTGGAGGAGGCTGACTGTGCGTGTGTGTGTGTGTGTGTGTGTGTGTGTGTGTATATGTGTACGTGTACACACACGTGCTTGGGGTGAAGACACCTCCCACCCATTTTGTAGCTTTCTTTGATGGCAGCAAACCATCTAGCCATGTCTCTTACCTCTATGAGTTCAGTGAGAGCTAGTTTCTTCCTCATAATTCAGTGCTGTCCAAAAGAAGTTTCTGCAGTGATGGCAGTGTTCTAGATCTACCCTCTTCAGTGCGATAGCCACTAGCTCCTTGTGCCTGCTGAGCACTTGAAGTGTGGCTATTGCAATCAAGAAACTGAATATTTAAAAATTTCAGTTAATGTAAATTTAATAAATAACCACACATAGCTAGTGGTTATCATGTTGGAGAGAGTATCTCTAAGTAGAAACAAGAAAGCAAACCAGCATCACTGTAAATGTGGGGACAAAGAACAACAGATTCTTAAAGTAGTAATTATCTCCTTATCATCATAGTTTTTTGGGGGGAGTACATAAATTCGGGCGGTACTTAAGAACACCAGATTCTGCCTAGACCCCAGAAGAAGGAAGAATTGTTTAAAGTGAGGTGAAAGAGTCTCAAGGGTCTCACAGGACACAGACCCTAAACTTGGCCATTTGAGAAAAGAAATTTGGGGCCTCAGAACGGAGAGGTATGATAAAAATATTTAGTTTCAAAACTCTTCATTGAGGAATCAAAGTTTCCTGCTCTTAGATAATTGTATCCTTTTCCAATTTTTAGGAAGACCTAGACAGACGGTATAACATGGAGAAAGAGAAACTTTACAAGATCCGTTTACTACAGGTAAGTGAAAGCAAGAACAAAAAAATACATAAATACAGCTACATATGGGTATCTGTAGAGAGCTAGAAGTCTTGGTATCTAAGAATGACTGATACGGAGGCTGCTATTTGTCAGCCTTCTGTCTGGAGCGTAACTATGTGATTTAAGATGTTGACAATAACATCTGACATCGGTATCTTATTTTCACGGTCATCTCGATAGATTTGATCCCCACCCTGGGTGGACAGTAGGTATTAGCTTCATTTACTAGATGAAGAAATTGACTCGTATCAGTTAAGTACTTGTCCAAAGTTAAGCAGCTGGTAAGTGGCAGAGCCAGCATTCAAATTCCAATGCTCTTGTCTAGTACTGTTCCTCTAAAATTACGTGCCCATTTTAGCTGTCTTATTTGATAACCTTGGAGGTTTATAAGAAAGCCATCAGATATGGAGGAAGTAGGTTTTAAAGTTGGTTCCAAAACTAAAGTCATATAGAGTCAAAATTACTTCGTAAAATCCCTTGCATTGCCAGGATCTTGCTCAGGGAAGCTCAGAAGCCCAGGGTTAACTCATGTGTTCTTTGCTTTGTGCCTTCTTCCTGTTCTCTGGGAAGAGAAAGCCAGGCTTTCCCAGGGCTGCAGAGGCCAGTGAGCCTCTGTTTCTCCTGTCTCTGGCTCTTGCTTACTCTGCTGAGCTGTTTGGTTAAATTCAGGTACATCAAATTTGCCCTTAAAACAGGGACACTGTTACTGTTTAAAGAAACTGAATTAAATAAAATCAGGAAAATGCAGTTGTATACTTGGAAACTTTGTGGCTGTGTGCTTCCTACATGTATATTCACTGTTGCATTAGGTAGGTATCAGGAGTAGTAAATGGGATGGCCCATCTTCTGGGAGCTGGCCAGCTATTTGAGAACCAGGATATGTCTATATACATCAAAGTATGAGGGAGTCAATATTATGCAATGCCTGTTGTGGTTGTGGGCAGCCTCAGACTCGCCAGAGGGAATGTCCAGTAAAACCATAAGCCTGCTGAGGCCGTGAGCCAGAGCGGGGGCCATGGGCAAGTGTGGAAACCACCTGGCACACAAGAGATTGAGAAACTGTATCTGATGAGACTTAGCATCAGTTGGGTCAGAGAAACAGAGGAGTCAAGGATGGTGCTTGAGTCTCTGACTCAGGTGGAAATACTTATATTATTCATTGAGGAAAAAGCATTAAAAAAGAATAGAGTTTAAGGGTGTATGTGTGTGTGAATAGGAATATTATTGAGATCTGTTTGGGACTCTTAAAAGTTGGGGCACTTCACCAAGTAGCGATGCCCAAGAAGTGATTGGGTGTCAGGCCTGATGCTCAGAATAGCCTGGGCTGGAGATTTGGGTATCAGCACTATGTAAGTGGTAACCATGGGGTGAAATCTGTGTGAGGACAGGCAGAGGAAATGGAGGAACCCTCCAGTGCAGTATTTGGAGGCATGGGGAAGCCAGGGTCTTATGGAAGCTGAGCAGAGGGTCCAGCAGAGAGAATGGTAACTTTTGCTAGAAATCAAGAAAGCTAGAAGCTGACAGTTATCCAGGAACTGTATCCCAGAGAAGGTCTGCAGTGACCTTCATGAGAGCTGTGTGGTAGGTGTTGGGAGAAGCCAGTTGCCAGTGGAGAGAAGGATGACTGCAGGGTGTGGGGGCAGCTCCAGGACCTGGGGGTCATGGCTTTCAGGAAGATGGGCTGTTGTTGCTGAAGAAAGAGGCTGTTAGCTGGAAGGCAATCAGGGCTTAGGAAAGGGCTTTTGAGGGGTGAGGGACTTGGCCTATCTAAATGCTGGTGAGAAGGGGCCAGTAGAAAGGGAAAGGTGAAAGATGCAGTGAAAACACTGAATAATTGTATCTTAAGATTCCTGGAAAAACAAACAAATACAGGAGTCAGAGCCTGAGTACCCAGGGGGTGTAGCCTTGGCCAAAAGGCGAACATTTTCCCCTCTGACCAGAGCCACAGAGACCCTACTTTGGGATTGGTGGCCAGAGCCGATGGTGGGTTTCTCACCAGGAGGCTCGTTTTTTCCCAGTACTTAGAGACCCACACATGCTGTTGTGAGCAGGGCAGGCCAGAGAGTGAGATGGGATGGCACAGAAGGAAGGCAGTGCAGAGAGCCCACTAGTCCTGGCCCATGAATGTCAGCAGCAAGTGGTGTTGGAGCTCAGCCACACCATACTGCTCTGCTGCCACAGGTGCCATCAGTGGCCAGTTTGGCTGCTGTACCCCTGGTCCATGGTAGGGCGAAAGTGCTAGAAAGGTGCTATAGGAGTAAATTGTAGGAGTTTTTCAATAGGTGAAGGAATTTGGAATTTCTATGGAGGCAGCAGGATGGCATCAGTTCCTAGTCACCTGGGAGGCCTTCTTTTTCATTCCCATCCCCACCTGGTAACGGAAGAATCAGCTACTCTAGAGTCCTTTGGAGTTGAGGGCTGTCCATAGAAGCCCTTCCCGCTTAGAGTCATCCTTCCCTAGCTGTTCATTTGCCGCCCTCTCTGGTTCTGCTTCATAGCCACACACACCTCCTCCTTGTGTTTCAAAGTGGGAGGAGAGTGCTTCAGAATCTGAGATGGGGACCTCAAGCCAACAGCAGATTTTTGGGGTATGTGGTTGTGCTCAGAAGGAAGTGGGGAGTAGTATTTTGACCCCCCTGAGAACATGTGAGACATTTTACCAAATACTATTGTCTCCCCCTTTCTTTTGCATTTAGGCTCGAAGAAATCGAGAAATAGCAATTTTGCATCGAAAGATTGATGAAGTACCCAGCCGAGCTGAGCTAATACAGTATCAGAAGAGATTTATTGAACTCTACCGCCAGAGTAGGTGCATCAGCCACAAACACTCTTGAGACTGGTCCTGGGAGGCACAGGAGGCGAGGGTTCTTCCCGCGTGAGAGTGGTGGATTGTGCATCGTAGCACAGTTGCTGAAAGCCACCACCAGAAGGGGCTCCCTGTCATCATCAGGCACACTAGGTGCTCATTCCACACGGCGCGCTACTAAGTGACCCTTTACCCTAGGAGCAGCGCTGGAGTGTCCTGCTCCCCTCCCTGTAGACATACTGAGCTAAGTGAGCTCTTAGCATAATGTTTCAAACCCGCCCTCTTCCTGGGCAACCGTTTGGCTCACTGAGCTCCCCATCCACTTTCCACCCTCACACAGGACTGAGCATGAGCACTCCATGTTGTAGCATCTCTCGATCAATCCTCATTCATTGTTCTTCTGTATGAACTTTCTTGCCCATGTGGTCCTTGACTTTGACAGCACTGTAATCCAGGACCAGGCCTCCCTCAGCCTAAATCAGTGAGCTCGTCTTGTCAGGTTCACTATGGCTCTCAAAGTTGTCATTGCTTCTCTGTTCCCGCTGCTGTTGTGATAGCTGTGCTTACTTGTGTCATAGCTCAGCTGACTGACCATTAGCTGGTCTGTATAGCCTTGTCTGAGTCCCTCACCCACCAGCCTCTCATGTTCTCTCTCTCTGCTCACCAGTCTTCAGGAGCTCCCCAGGCCTACCAAAGAAAATATCTCCTTATTAGCTCCAGAACCTCCCCAATCTAAGTGGCCTGCCTGGAGGCACCCTTTCCTTCTCTGAGCCCACATTTCAGCTTCCCCAGTCCACACACTAAGCCTCGCACACCATGTACTTTGACATACATCTTAGGCCTTGACTCCTCTTGTTACCTGTGCTTGGGACCCCTTCTCAACTCTGTCAGACCCAACTCAGATCTAGTCTATAAACAGGTCCTAGACTACCACCCCTTCTTCTAGGTTCCGACTCATGCATATGCCCTGGGTACCTCCAACTCAACAGATACAAAACTAAATTCAGCCTCCCTACCCCATTTATCCTCTTGGTCATGGGGATCACTGTCGAGCTGCTCTTCTGGTTCTTTTTGCAAGTAATGGTCAGGTCCGTTTCTTCTGGACTACTGCTATAGCCACCTTCTCATCATGGCCCAGAGTCTGCACTCTTGTCTGAGAGATCTTTTTCAAACAGAAGTTTGATCATTTTACACTCTTGCTTTAAAAGCTTTAATGTTTGGTAGCTCTCCATAACTTGTGGATGATCTTCAGAATTCTAATGACACTGATCAGAGTCTTGCATCAGGCAGGCCAGCTTCCCTGGCACTTCCCCAGCGCTCACCCCTCTCGTGATGACGTCTGCATTTTGGCCTATGAGCTGGTCCCCAGGTCCATAATGCCACTGTCCTACAATTCCACGTGTCAGACTCCATCAGTTCTTCCAAAATCCCCCTTAGATTTTGCCTTGGGCTCTTGGCCTCTCCAACATCCTTCCTGGCTCAAGCCAGAGCAGTATCCTTACTCTGGTTGGAGCCATGCTTCCTTTCACACCTACTCCCATCCTGATGTTTTATACAGCCTGGAGCTTGACTCAGATGGTGAGGGGCAGGTATCAACTGTGGCAGCTTCCCATAAGAAAATAATTTCTGCCTTTACTTAAATTTTTCCCCTTAATTCTGTATTCCTGCTACTTTCCAGCTTTTAACAATAATGATGTTTTGCATCTGTATATTTCACAGTAAATTTGACACATGTTTAAGTCCTTTTGACAGGACATTTTTACACCAAAGAAATCTTAAGTTACACCAAAATATCTATATCATTTTCATTATTATTGTTGGCAGATATTTTCAGCCCCCACCCAGTCCTTGATCTGGATAGAGGAAGGGTGACAGGCACATTCCTGAGTAGCAAAACTAAATATTGATTGATGGCAGTGATTTTCAACCTTGGCTATATATTGTAATCACCCAACCCCACCTCCAGAAAAAAATCTCATTTAATTGGTCGTGAGATTTTAAAAATTCCCAGGCTATTCTGTGTTTCAGCCAGGCTTGAAATCCACTGTTCTAAAGCTAATATTTTATATTGAGTAGTTCATGTAGTGATTTTTATACAAATCAGACATTTTGATATGGGAAGCATTTTAAACTATTGTCTCAAAATACCTGAATCAGGTTATTAATTTCTGTTACCAGATGTGTACAGCAGTACTGTCAGCCCCCACCCGTCTTTGAGCTGCACTGCTAGGGGGAGACACAGTATCACTAGGTAGTAAAATTAAAAGTTGGCTGATTAGCTTAAAGAGGTTTAAATGTTAGTGGTAGTTGCCCAAGGAAACTACAATGCCCACAGCCTGTTCTGCTTCTCTCCTCCCCAACTCCTGCTGCTCCAGAGGGAACCTGTGTTCAGGGAGCAAGAGCCACTGGGAAAGCAGATTCCCCCTGTTGTCTGGACAGTGCCTTTTGACCATTAGACATCAGGATCTTTGGCTACAGCTAAAATGGAGGGCTCAGTTTAGGCCCAAAGCCTGATTGTGAATCCAGGTCTTGGGATTTTTACCTGCCTCCGTATGTTAAGAGAATTCAGAGCCATGAGGGAGACATATAGGCTCAGAGCCAAGTGGGGGCCACTCAGGCACCCAGCCACATAGCAGAAAGACAAGGTGGCTGCCCCCCATTGACAATGTCCTCTGGTGAATATGGTCCAGTCCCAGTCTGTGAATGGGGTGCTTTCCCCCTAAGTCATTCTATAAGGAAAAGTGAAGAAGAAGAGGTAGATGGAGAATAATTTTATAGAAGAATTTTATAGGAAAGGATGTTGGGTGCCTGGTAAATAAGACGTTCTCCCTTAGTCATATGCACAGAAATGGGGAGAAAATTCTCACTTATTAGGCACTTATTCCGCCCTAGGTTGGGCATGTTATTCATCCAGTAGATATTTTGGAGGGCCTGCTGTCTAGGCATGTGCAAAGCATAGGGATTACAAAAGGGAATAGGCTGTGGCTCCTATTCATGAGGGGAGTGAGGAGGAAGGAAGACAAGTAGGAAGAAGCGACATGGTGGCTTCCTCATTCTTGCCACCTCCTCCCCACCCCCAACCCCCAGGATGTCTCACCTGAGAAACCCACCTGTCCCACATGCTGACAAATTCCTTTAATCTCTCATCCCGGCTGGGCCAGTCAGTGGGGCCAGTCCTGTGGGTGGGCCTCCTGGGGCAGTGGAAGCTTAAGATTGTTCTGATCCATTTTCTTATTCGTGTGTTGATGTCTTTGCATTTACAGTTTCAGCAGTGCACAAAGAAACCAAGCAGTTCTTCACTTTATATAATACTCTGGATGATAAAAAGGTTTATTTGGAAAAAGAGGTAAGAACCTGTATAAGAAGAAAATAATCAGATGAGCAGATACCAGGGCCACTGATCCCAGGAAGTTCAGAGAAACAATGTCTAGGATGTAATCAGGTGTAAGTGCAAGAAGTGCCTGCTGTGTGCCCAGTGCTGGGTCACAAAGTTAGAGTAAGAGACACCTCAGGGCTGCCGTAGCACAGTTGCATGGGCTGACATGGGACTAATAATGGACAGCTGTTCCATGGTGCCTGTGAGGAAGGACATCTAGAAAGCAACACAGGTGCACATGGAGAGGACATGGGTGGTGAAATTTTAGTTTGAGTTTGTTGTTGTTTTTTTAATAATAGTGCATTATTTTTCACATTTGGATAAATTATTTTTTTGACAGAGAGAGCATGAACAGGGAGAGGGGCATAATGTGGGGTTTGATCCCAGGACCCCGGGATTATGACCTGAGTGGAAGGCAGACATTTAACCAACTGAGCCACCCAGGTGCCCCTAGTTTGAGTTTTAAAGGAAGGAAAGAACCAGCTAAGTAAAATAGAGGTGGTAGGCTTATTCTAGTTGACATGGAGAAACTAGCTATTTAATCAGCCTCAGCCAACAGGAGTGAAAGGGGTTGCCCTGGGTACTCACACCCTCTCCGCGTTACTCTGACACTCAGGTTACATACACTCATGATTCAGGACTCCCTCACTTCGACGACAAATGATTGGAGCAGGGTGTGCAACTATGTTTTAAGGAGAAAAAAAAGAAAAATAAAGGAACGATATGGTCTTTACAGTAGCAGCACACTGGAACAGAGAGAGCATGTGCTTTCAAGTCAGACAGATTTGGGTTTTATTCTGGCCATATTTTCTGTACCTGTAAAGAGGGCATCACACTCGCTCTATATGATATGATGGAGACAGAATGGGAAATGATGGTGAAGGTCATTGTGTCTGGTTGCTCCCTGCACATATTATAGTTCCTGCCTACCCCCCCACGTCAAGGTCAACAGAATTTGTTTCCATTTCATCATCATTTTGCAGCCTGCACTGATCATCCTCTTAATGAGAACAGTACCGCAGGTGTGTCTTTTACCTGCCCTCCCCCTGCCCCCAAATAGAGGCATGTGTAATTAGCATCACCGTTATTGGCTATTGTCCATCAAACCAGATCAATCTGTGTCTTCCTAGAGGACACTTCTTGAGGGGGGCATTGAGTTCTGTTTTTCTCTATGCCTGAGGTCTTACACAGTGATGGGCACATGACAAGCATTTGATAAATATTTGAATATATGAGTTGAGCACATTTGGTAGGATTTACATCAGACCCGGGGGCATAGCTCTGCCAAACACCGTGGCTGTGGGATCTTTCTACCTAGTGAGAGGAAGCCAGCCAACCCTCACTTAGGGACAGGCCAGCCCCTTCCAAGAAAGCCCATCACCTGCCTTCGTCAGTAGTGTTTAAAGTTGTCACATTCTTTTAAAAACTAGGAGTATTTTAATGGGTGATGGGCACTGAGGGGGACACTTGACGGGATGAGCACTGGGTGTTATTCTGTATGTTGGTAAATTGAACACCAATAAAAATTAATTTATTAAAAAAAATAAAAATAATAAAAAATAAAAAAATAAAAATAATAAAAAATAAAATAATAATAATAAAAAAACTAGGAGTATGCAGGGGGAGGTAGGAGCTTTTGATTACAAGCCATATTAACATAGAACTTTGCATTTGGATAAATTATGCCTTTTATTCCAAATGCATTTACACCAGTGCTATTTTAGCTTTCAAGCATCCCTGTGGTGTCCTAAGGACAAGAATATCATTTCCATGTTACAGACTGAGGTCCAAGTAGGGTAAATGACAAGCTGAGTTCGTGACACAGCCAGAAAGAAGATCTGGGTTTTTAGAGTCCGAACTCAGAGCCCTTCCCTGAACTATATCACTGGGGCAGAGAAGGGTCCACCTGTGCAGGCTAAGGCATTCTTCATGGGAGAGTTCTCCCCGTGGGGCCTTGAATGATGCATTCCCATGCAGGTCCTCAGAGCCGCCCCACGGCTGGCCACATTAGGAAGTAAAAGGATGGGCATGGTGTCCTCGCTCTCCCCCACAACTGGCCCTCCGCTAATCTGATAGCCCTGAAAACAAAGTACACTTTTGGTGAGGAAACAAGAACTGGTGGCAGCTGCCCAAAGGACCCTAATGTTAGCTGAGTGTCTTCTCATATGGAATTTTGGCCCTTCTAGGGGCCCTCTTCCTACATTCCTGGGGTCATGGGTTGTCAGAAGGTCGATGCTCTGGGAAAAACCGTGGGGCTAAGAGCATGCTGCTCTTTTTCTCACGTTCTTTCATCTCTGTAAACAAGGTGTGCTGCTTTCAGAAGCAGTGTCCAGAGACAAGACAGCTTTGCAGTGTTTGGAGCCACACAGAGATCTTTCATCCTTTTGCTTACAGTTTTTCCTTTTTTTCCCCCTTTCTTCTTCAGATTAGCTTGCTGAACTCAATTCATGAGAACTTCTCACAGTAAGTACTAGCAGTCCTCCTTCCCGTCAGTACCTTGGTGTACCCTGCACTGTGCTTTTGGCTCACCTTCATGTTAGGGAAGGAGTACAAGGAGTGAGACGGTGCTAGATATGTGGTCTTTACACTCTCACTCTTACTGCCAAGTACACATGTGTCTTGGTTTACACGGTCTCTGCGTTCTTGCAAAAATAATGGTGGTGTTTGAGTTTGAGAAACACCAAGGAATATCTGGGGGGAAAAGTTAACTTTGAAGTAATTTGACTGTGCCTCACTACTATAAACTCTTTGTATATTACTTCTGTCTTGTTATGATTAGATTACTACCATTAGTTCTTAAGCACATAGAGATGCTTTATGATTTAGATAATGAAATAATCTAATTTTCAAAAAGATTTTTTAAATCTAATGATAGATTTTGTATTTAAGTCAATGTGCATCTTTTACTTTATTCATATAAGAATTCATTTTCTCCAAAAATTGTATGGCAGGGCCCTGTTGTACCCAGGTCATACCAGCCCTCAAGCATGCTCAGTGGCCTACTCACCTTCCAGGAGCCCCAAGGCTTGCTGTCTGTACAAACCTTCCCCGGCAAGTGATCAGTGACTAAGATCTGAATGGATTACAAACTCTAAATGTTAGGCTTTGTTTCTAATTCAAAGCAGACCAAAAAAGCCATAACTCACTGATAAGAATCAGATTCAATTAGTGACTTATAACCCTGTGACATTTCTCTAAATGGTACCTTCATCATCATTCCTGATAATTGAGAAAGGCTGCGGTGTTTGAGTGGTTTTGTGATGAGTTCTTCTCTCTATCAGCCTCTGGAATAATTCCCAATCCCTGTATCTGAGTGCTCTGATCCTTCTGGTGTGATTCCCAGTGCACAACAGGAAGTGAAAGGAACAATTTTCAGACACCAGGAAATCCACTCATTTAGCTGCTGCTTTTAGGAACAGGACCAGGTTTCCTGACCCTGGTTTTAGGAAAAGCTCAGAATATTTCTACCAGTCTTCAGCAGTGTCTCCAAATCCTCACATTTCTGAAAACTAAATGGGATTCATTTCTTAGGCAGTGCATGTCATCATCAAAGCAAGAAGTGTTTTTGTTGATTTTAATAACATTTTGTTTTGCTTTAAGAAAATATGTATTACTTAAATGGGAGAAAAAAATAGTATTCAGTTATGAAATGAAGCTAATTGTCGTGTGTCCCATGGATTTAGAATCCCTAACTGCCTGGGACCCAAGGGCCCCCAGGAGTCCACCATGTCTCAAAAAAGCATCATCTGGGCACAGGGCAGACTCCTTGATGCCTCCCTCTTCTTCAGCATCCTCCATGCTGGTTTTCACTCTGCGGTATTTTCCTTTCAGAGCCATGGCCTCCCCTACTTCCCGGGACCAGTTTTTACGTCAGATGGAACAGATCGTAGAAGGAATTAAGCAGAGCAGAATGAAGGTGAGAGGGCTTGTTTTCTGTAGTGCAACCAGGACCTCATACTGGTTTTGGAGAAGTCCTTGGGAAGGATAGACTTCTTCTGCTTGTCTTAGTAATGTGTTCCCAGTCCAGAAGACACATCTTCAGTGTCTATGGTGTGGGTTCCCAGCATACGTCTGACCCTGCAATGGCCAGCACCAGATCCACAGCCTGGTGGTTTAAAGGCAGCTTTTAACAGTAGCCCCATGGATTGAACACCTGCTGTGGGCCAAGCATGGTGCTGGTCCTAGAAGCTTTTCTAAGTGAGTAGTTTATCCCTGTTATATAGATGAGGAAGCCAGCTTTCACCAGCAGGCTTTCCCTCTTGCCCACAATCTCTTCTTCACTGGATCTTTGGTTCCTGAAATTCTACCATTCATTCCTTAGGATCTTGAGAACATTTTAGTTTTCAGGAATCCTCTATAAAAAGTGCAAATAATTGTCAAAGTGAATTCCAAAGTAAGAGGATATTATGCCTCAGAAGTCAAAAGAGAAAAGAATAATCGATAAGCATTGTGGGAGTTCCAGAGATAGCTTTACAGAGAATCATTCAGCATAGAGTTTTCATCACTTTGTGACTCTGCACTTGGGCCGTCTTCACAGTAGCAAAGAAGATTCAGACTCTAGAAACCAGACGTAGCCATGGTTTTCTACTGTTATAATCAGATGAGTCCTCACTAATATTTCCAAATCTCTTACGTTTGATCCCTTTAAAAAATGGATCATACCAGAGTGGTCCTCAGGCCTGGCAGTAAAACCTTCTGGGGACTCAGGGCAGCTTCTCTCATGAGCTGGAGCAGAGTGGTACAGTGAGTGACACCAGAGTGTAAACACACGAAGGATTTGTCATTATAAAAACCCACTCACAAGAGGCAAACATTCAAGCTGCCTATAATCTCATCTCACAGGAGATGAACTAAGGGCAAAAGCTGTTTCTATCCCTTCCCTTGTAGAAAATATTAATCTCTCCATTAATGACTTCAATAAAATGTCAGTGGGGCAAAAAAAAAAAAATTACCACCAGTGACAAGACTATTCAGCCCCCAAAATGAAAGCAGTCCTAAGGCAGCACCTGACCTACTTGCTCATGTGCATCTGCCCAAGGCAGAACAGGCCCTTCTTGATGGTCTAGGTAAGGGTATAGTGAAGGAGGATGACGACAGAGAACCTAGTCTGCAGGCCTTTACAGCCCCGATCTCAGTGTGATGGACCTTTCTACCTTGCCATCCTGCCATTATGTTCCTCCTAGGGGAGGCGCGCAGGCTCCAGGCCCCAGCACGGACCCCGATGCAGGGCTCAACCTCACAACCCCAAGATCATGACCTGAGCCAAAATCAAGAGCCATGCAAACACTTAACTGACTGAGCCATGCAAACACCCCGTAGAGCTGCTCTTATCCATACTAAAGAATACTAGGAATTTATTGAGGGTTTTTTTTTCCTTTGGCTTTCCCTTCCTGTTACCAGGAGATACATTCCTAGGGAAGGAAGTGGACGTAATCCCTTCATTCATGTGTGCATGGCTAGGGCGAACCTGGCACCTGACTCGTGGTGGGCTTCCAAGAACTATTTCCTGGGTGAATAAATTCATTCAGTTGACTGCAAAGATAGTTCTCAAAGAGGGGTCCTGGTCAGGTTTGAATATTGGCTGGCACTTCAAATGTAAGAAGTCTGTCTTTGCAGAACAATATTCATTTGAATGCATGTCTTTTGCTATCTTTAAAAAACCACAGCCTTCCCTACATGGATGCCACGATGGTTCCTGCTCAGAGTATATGTGGCACGGGAGCCTGTGTCCTCAAAGAGCACACACATCTCCAGAACTGGCGGTGGCAAGGTGTACATAGAGTAGATCATAGACTGACAGTGTGTACAAGCAATAGAAAAGGTGTTATGGTGCATAGAAGGGTTTCTGAGTGAAGAGAGACTCACATACTGGAAGGCATTTTGACCTCATCCTGAAGACATGAAGTCTCTGGAGCTCTGGAATACTATGGGCGAGTGCTCAGCAAAAGAATCTGGGGTTCCTGACCTAGAGTGTGAAGTGGATTAAACAAGGAGTGGGAACGGTGGGCCTGTATAGGGGGTTGCTAGAACAGTGTGAAAATAAAACTCAGACCTAAGAATCAGCTCCTGATTCTGAGAGTGAAGGGGACTCTTAGTACTTCTTACCAGGTACATTGTAGGGTGTCCAGTGTGAAGATAAAACAGTATTGAGTAGCTACCATAAACCAAGTGATGTGTCATTCACTTAACATTTAATATCATATATACCTTGTAACCTATAATCTAGGTGATATTATCCTTATTTTGCAAATAGGCGACTTGTCATTCAAAAAGATTTTAAAAGTCTTTCCAGGGATACACAGTGAGTGACTGAAGTAGGATTTGAACCCAGGCCTTTCTGGCCTCAAGCTCAGTTCTTTGCAGGGTTGCTCTGCCACCTTCCATGGTGGGTCCTGGAGATGTTCAAATTAAATTTATTGAAGAACCTTGTTTATATCCCTAAGACATAGTCAGTCATGGCCAGATTTTCTGCTGGAGGACAGAGCAGGAAGGAAAGGTCTGAGATCCATCAGCCAGGCTCTGCTACTTAAGAGGTACGGACTCAGCAGTGAGATCCCACCCAGTGCAGCACAAAATGTTCCTAGCAGCTGTGGGAAGTGGCGTACAGGAAGTAACAGCAGTGGGCATTGTGGCAGGAACCTTAGTCATGTGGACAGTATCAGGAAGCCTGCCAGACAGGAGCAGTGCAGACCACTAAGCCAGAGCTGAGTGTAGGATGGGCCTAGCCAGAGTCCCCAGAGAGGCAGGCAGGTTATCAGATTCCAGACATGGGCACAGACATGTGACAGGTGTCCATGTTCAGACCTGTGGAAAGAAGAGAGCCAGAGGGTCTCAGGATTAGGTCACCAGGTGACTTAGGAGCTAGATGCACAGTCAGGAGTAGACCAGGCAGACAAATGTCCATATGGGGTGGGCTTTCCCCTCAGCCAGGCTGGGATAGGGTGTGGGGGCACCAGGGTGCAGTTCACCAGGTGATCAACCCATGGCCTGGAGAGGGGGACAACTTGAATACAGTGCAGCCAGTTGAACTTTAACCTGTATTTACTGGGCAATCCCTTCCGCCATGTAACTCAGAAGCACCGTGCAAGCATCAGAAGACCAGCGATTTCATCCAGCTCTTGAGCACGTGCTGCAAGCCAGGCACCTGTTGGCCACCACAGCTTTCTGCCCTCACCATCTGGGTGATGCTTTCATGTGCTTCTGGAGATAGTGCACAAACCACTGCCCGAATGTCACCTCCTCAGAGAGCCCTCCCTGACCATCTGGTCTGAAGAGGTCATGCATCCACCCTCCTCTCTATCACCAAACCCTGTCATTCTCTTCACAGAAGCAATCACCAGTAGAAGTTTGCACACAGAGCTCGTTGTGTGAAGTGCTTGGTTAGCATCAGCCCCTCTGGCATGCTCCCTCCATGGGAGCAGTAACATTGCCTCATCACCATCACATTTAGTCCTCAGGGTGTCCACACAATATTTGTTGAAAGACTAAGCTGTTAGGTACCTCAGGAAAGTCTCTTTAACCCAAATCCAAGCTTTATTTATGAGGTCACCATCCTGGAAACAACCTAAATTGTCCACCATTAGAAAGATGGGTAAGCAGTATGATTGGGAATATTGTATAGTTTTTTTAAGTTTTGACTGTACAAAGTATACAATAGCATAGAAATACTTGTTAAGTGAAAGAGAACTCAGTTATTTACATAGGAGTTTTCTAATCTCAACACAATTAACATTTTTGGACCAGATGACACCTTATCATGTGGGATCTGTCCTCTATGTTGTAGAATGTTTAGCAGCATCCCTGGCCCTTATTAGAAGGTACCTGTAGCACCCTCTCCTCACAGTGGTGACCATCTGATCCATCCCCAGACATTGCCTCATGCCCTTTGGGGGCAAAATAGCCCCTGGTTGAGAACCACCAGCCTGTTGATTGTGAAATGGTAAACACACACACACACACACAAAAGTGGGACAGTTAGTGTGCAATGCAGAATTCCTGAGTAAATTAGAGAAGCCTCTGTGTAATATCATGCAAATAAATAGGCCAGTCTCAGAAATGATGTACAGAAGAGAAATACTGGAAGGAAGTCCATGATTATATTGGTAATAGTCGCCTTTTGGGTGTTGCCAGCAGTCCTTGATCACAACATGCCCCTTTCCTCATCATTTCCCAAAATGTTTCAACAGATGGAAAAGAAGAAGCAAGAGAACAAAATGAGAAGAGATCAGTTGAACGACCAGTACTTGGAACTGTTAGAAAAACAGAGGCTGTACTTTAAGACTGTGAAGGAGTTCAAGGAGGTAAAGAGGAAGATGGGGCTGGGCATATAAGGCTATGGGGGGATTTGTGTTCATCCAAGATGAGCCTTTCAAAACCAAAGTGATTCCCTGGTTTTCCATTGGTCTGTAGGTGGGTAAACAGCAGGTTGGCAGTGTGATCTGACCGTAAAGTGTGGCATGTCAGTAGTTCAGGACTGCGTGGTTCAGTGGCCCATCTCAAGTCCCGAATTGAGGGTTCTAAGAGACATCACGTCTTTATTTTCATTCACCTGGCATTTAGTAAGCATTAGTAAACTCACAAATGAAATAGCATCAAAGGCCACCTGGAAATAACATTCGTTACATATTCAGATCTGAAATTCTCCCTCCCTCCATCTGAGGTGGGGGGTGGGCCTTGAGAAGCCGGTGGGAGGAATGAACTCTGAGCATGAGGAGCTGGGTCTGAACCCTGCCTTTACCACTTACCAGCTGTGCACTTGGGCAGTAACAAACCCCCCCCAAACCTGTTTCCTTGTTGTTGAGATCTGCTGGGCCAGTGAGGGATGAGAGCATCTAGCACTGCATCTCACTCCTCTGACACCCTACACTCACTGAATTGTGTTTGTCCTGGCCTTTTCTGCATTTGGGCAAAGTTATTCTGTATGGGTCAGGAAAGAAACGTGCTCTCTTCTTGAGATTTTCCAGAAAGAAGACTTCATTTTGTCATTTACTAGGATTTTGGCAACTTCATTTTCAGGAACTCCTTCCCCGTTTCCAGGCCAAATCCATGTGGTCTCAGTGAGTGTAGAGATTGCTGAGCATAGAGGAGCTAGAGGTGTAGGTTGTATCCTGGTGTTTGATCTACAGAATAAAATAGGATCTCTTCATACCAATAATTTTATTCCTGTGTACGTTTTTTTAAGGTTATATTTATCTGAGAGAGATGGCATGAGCAGGGGGGAGGGGCAAGGGGGGAGGGAGAAGCTGACTCCCACTGAGCAGGGAGCCCCATGTGGGGCTCCATCCCAGGATCCCGGGATCATGAACTGAAGGCAGACACTTAACTGAGCCATAGAGGCGCCCTATTCCTGTGTACTTTTTTTTTTTTCCTGTGTACTTTTAAAGACTTTTTTCCCTTCTTTCCTTTTCTGTTTTCCTTTCCTACTTCTCCTCCTCCCCCCCCCCTTTTTTTTAATTTAACTTTTAGGGGCCACAGCCCACAGACATTTCAAAATTCTCACACTTTCCATCAGTGTTATTCCAGCTCCTACCATGCCCCTGGGGATATAGCAGGTTGTTAAACAGACCTGCTAACTCTGTCAAGTAGCTTGTGTTGTGGTTGGGGAGACAGATAACAAGCTAGGAAACACAAACCCTAGTAAACAAGTAATAAAAAAAAAAAAAAAACTAATTTCAGTTTTTGCCGGAGGCGGGGGCACACAAGGAGATGTATGGTTAGGGGAGGTCTCTCTCGAGTGAGGGCTTGGTCAGGGGCAAAGCAGGAGTGAGACCCTAAGGCCAGGCAGGTGGGAGAGTGATGGGGTGAGGTGCTCGGGGTCTGGGAGCCCCCTGTGGTTAGCAGGGGTTGGAGCTGAAGTTCTGGAAGGGCTAGTGAGCGAGCTGGCAAGGATCAGTCAGGACCCACTGTTCCCCAGCAGAGCTCTTTTTTCCCTTTAATGCAAATAACTCAGAAAGAGAAAAGGCCCAGCAGAGAAGAATTAAATGTTGCTTGAACATGCCAGCACTGCCCTTTTGACAGCAGAAACAAAAAGCAGATAAGTTGAGGAGGATAAGTATAAGCTGTCAAATTCAAAGCAAATAAAAGTGAAATGGAAGAGCTTATTCTTACTCTACACGCTCTCAGGGCTGAAGGCTTAAGATGACCTCCAAAGGAAAAGGTTCCTTCAGATGTGTTAAGCATCAAGCTTTCTGCGTTCCTGCCTCCCTGGGGCGCAGAGAGGGTCACATCAGAGAAAAAGGGTGGGTCCCTCCTAACCGGCTCCTGTGCTTCCCCATGCCTGTTTTCCTTAGTCCAAAACAAGAGGGGGAAAGGGAAATAAAGGTTCTTCAGACAACTAAATATATGTCATTTAAAAGAGTCACCTTAAAAAAAAAAGGCATTTTTTTTGTTTTTTTTTGACATTAAAATTGATAGTATTTACTCTTTTTTTTTTTAACACTTGGCAAAAATTTAAGATTAGTGGCTGCCCTTCAGTGTTCCAATATCTTAAGCTTTTCCTATTAGCTCCTCTGAGGTAACTTGGCCCCTCTTGGGGCCACTGCAGGTTCAGGAGGAAGTGGCATTGGAGGCTTGCTGCTCCCCAATTTCCACCCCATTCCTTCAGCCAGAGTAATTCTGTTATTTTGCAGCTTGCAGTACCTGTTAAGATCTCATGTGTCGTAGATCAGTTTGGAAAAGCAGACTTTCATCCCAGGGCAGGATCTTCTTCCAGAACCCTCTCTGTTCTGCTTGCTTTCTTTGCCTCTCCCCAACCTGCCTGGTCTTCTCCTCCTGGGTTCTGAAGTCTCACTGTATATCCTGGTCTCTGGCCCTTGTGCTGGCAGCAGTTACTTTTCATGCAGAGCACAGGATCATCGCCCAGAGCATGGCCCTGGCTACCTTAGCAGTTCCTTCATTGGGTTTGGTTTATTGCATGTTCATTGAGCAACAGTGGTGCTCATCCTGCCTCTTTGCCTCCCCTGGTATCAAGACACTGGTTAGAGACACCCAGCCATCTCTGAATTTCCATTGGCTTGCTCATCCCAGCAGGTTTGTTATTAGCAAGTCTGCCAGGGAATAGCACATACTCGGAAACCACTTTAATTGCCACATTATGTTCATTAATGATGTCTCTAAACCACAGTCTCTCATAAGGTCATCAAAGCAAGGTTTAAATCTAACCTAGCACTGACAAATGCAGACCATACATTTTCATGAAGCTGAGTTTGAGTACCTAATGTCGAGGGGCTGAAGTACCATGTCTGGCACATGGGGGGGCCCATACGGTCTTCAGTAGGAAAAAAACAGAAGCAAGGAGTTTTTTTTCCCCTCCATTGTAGAAAGAAATGCTAAAGGACCTTTCCAGTATTTGCTTTGAACAGAGAGACAGTATCATTCTGTGGTTTCCTAAAAGGTCTTCAGTAGATTGCAGGTAACTTAATACCAGGTGACAGCCTGGGATGCCTTTACTGAGAAGTCCAAGCATCATCTCAGCTTTGTGTGATACACAGAATTGTCCCTGCTGGGGACTGTCCCACAGCAGCAATTTGATGCTTCTAAGTTGATTTTGCCACATTTAAAAGTTGAAGTGGATAAGGGAAGGAGGGGAAACTAAGTGGAGAAAAATTAGAGAGGAAGACAAATCATGAGAGACTCCGGACTCTAGGAAACAAACAGATTATGGAAGGGGAGATGGGAGTGGGGTGGGGTGATACGGTGACTGGGTGATGGGCATTAAGGAGGGAGCATGATGTGATAAACACTGGGTGTTATATGTTGGCAAACTGAATTTAAATTAAAATACATAGCTCCTCCCAATATACACATATATATATAAATTAAAGTTGAAGTGGGTGACAAGTAAATGTATTTATTCATCATTTTGTCTTATCTTTTTTATTATGGAAATTTTCAAAAAAAATCCACAGAAGTAGAGAAAGTTAGGTTAATAATAGAATAGTATGACTGTCTTCCTGTTCTTGTTTCATCTTTACCCCCACCTACACTTTGTTTTTGGCTGGAGGTTATCTCCCTAAACAAATCTTAATAACTCACTTTATTTTCAATAACACATTTTTAAAAGGAAAGCTTTCTTCACTAGTATAACAAATGTTATTCAACTTCTTTCCTTTCCTGCTCCCCCAGGAACAATTAACTGCCTCCCCCTCCAGAAACATGTGCTCAAGAAGTGTCAGAGTACCTTACTACTGACAATAATTCAACCATACCCCCAGCCCAGAGCCTAGCTATTCTCTGGCTCTGAGGAGAAGGATAAGTACCTACAGGTGAACTGGCACTTAGAAAAAACAGGGTCACTGCAGCCATGAGCCATGACACTACCAGAAAAAACAAAAGGCCTCCAGAGAGCTAGGAGCACTTAGGCAGGCCCAGGGAGATGGAAACATTGACTTTGGGGGTCTTTGGTGCAGAGGGTTCAAGGCTGGAAGAGTTTCTTCCACACTAAGGGAATCTCCAGGGAAGCATAGCTCCGGGAGGCCTGGCCTCCCTCTCTGGTCTGGGCCCCTCCAGCTTGCCTCTCCAGGCCCTTCCCACTACCACATTCACCTCTTAGTTTTAACGGGGCTCCGGGTGACATGGCCCAAGGAAGGAGAGGACATTGTTTGCCAGCAGATGGAGGTATCCTAAGATGTCAAGACCAGTGAGAACAAGAGGGAAGGAGGATGCATAATGAGAAGCTTTGGAACATGTTTGTGGGTACAGAGTGATGCAGAGGGGACCTTGTACCACCGGACATCAGATTCCACACACAGGGGCTGGGACCAGCGACCTCCCTTAATAATCTCCCTCAACACCTATAGTAGTGGATTGCATGCAGCTCGTTTTCTTTAAAGATTTTATTTATTTATTTACTTACTTATTTTAGCTCGTTTAAAGATTGATTTTATTTGTTTATTTTTTAATTTATTTTTTATTGGTGTTCAATTTACCAACATACAGAATAACCCCCAGTGCCCGTCACCCATTCACTCCTACCCCCCGCCCTCCTCCCCTTCCACCACCCCTAGTTCGTTTCCCAGAGTCAGGAGTCTTTATGTTCTGTCTCCCTTTCTGATATCTCCCACACATTTCTTCTCCCTTCCCTTATATTCCCCTTCACTATTATTCATATTCCCCAAATGAATGAGAACATACACTGTCCTTCTCCGATTGACTTACTTCACTCAGCATGATACCCTCCAGTTCCATCCACGTTGAAGCAAATGGTGGGTATTTGTCATTTCTAATGGCTGAGTAATATTCCATTGTATACATAAACCACAGCTCCTTTATCCATTCATCTTTCGATGGACACCGAGGCTCCTTCCACAGTTTGGCTATTGTGGACATGGCTGCTAGAAACATCGGGGTGCAGGTGCCCCGGCGTTTCATTGCATCTGAATCTTCGGGGTAAATCCCTAACAGTGCAATTGCTGGGTCGTAGGGCAGGTCTATTTTTAATTCTTTGAGGAACCTCCACACAGTTTTCCAGAGTGGCTGCACCAGTTCACATTCCCACCAACAGTGTAAGAGGGTTCCCTTTTCTCCGCATCCTCTCCAACATTTGTGGTTTCCTGCCTTGTTAATGTTCCCCATTCTCACTGGTGTGAGGTGGTATCTCATTGTGGTTTTGATTTGTATTTCCCTGATGGCAAGTGATGCAGAGCATTTTCTCATGTGCATGTTGGCCATGTCTATGTCTTCCTCTGTGAGATTTCTCTTCATGTCTTTTGCCCATTTCATGATTGGATTGTTTGTTTCTTTGCTGTTGAGTTTAATAAGTTCTTTACAGATCTGGGAAACTAGCCCTTTATCTGATACGTCATCTGCAAATATCTTCTCCCATTCTGTAGGTTGTCTTTGAGTTTTGTTGACTGTATCCTTTGCTGTGCAAAAGCTTCTTATCTTGATGAAGTCCCAATAGTTCATTTTTGCTTTTGTTTCTTTTGCCTTCGTGGATGTATCTTGCAAGAAGTTACTGTGGCCGAGTTCAAAAAGGGTGTTGCCTGTGTTCTCCTCTAGGATTTTGATGGAATCTTGTCTCACATTTAGATCTTTCATCCATTTTGAGTTTATGAGAGGCAGAGAGAGAGAGAGGCAGAGACACGGGCAGAGAGAGAAGAAGCAGGGTCTGTGCAGGGTGCCCGATGTGGGACTCGATCCTGGGTCTCTAGGATCACGCCCTGAGCTAAAGGCAGACACTCAACCACTGAGCCACCCAGGGGTCCCACATACAGATCATTTTTTTGATATGTATCCCTCACCCAGTCTCCTGTTTCTTTCTTAAAGCTAAGGATATTCTTGATCTTGACTGTTGTCAGAGTAAGAACTTTGCCATGTGCTCTGCTTGCTGTGTGAACTAGGTCTGCCTTTTGTCACTCCTTTGGCTGCTAGCTTTAAGGACCTTCTCCATCCTTATCATAGTGGTCCAAGATCAGGGCTTAAGTGTCTGCTTGCTGCTTCTGGCTCCGAGGCTTGCCGCTTCTGGCCCCTGGAGGATTTTAGTGGCTTCATGAAGTGTTTTGGAATGACAGTGCCTAATCCTCATCCAGTTCTTGGTCTGATAGTCCAGAACCCAACTGTCATTTATGGTGACTTTAGCACTGAAAGGCAGGTGAACCTGTCCCAGAAGTTCCATTGTGCTAGTGGCCGCATGGACAGGGCAGGAGGGGGGTGGTTAGTCCATCAGTCACTGTCCCTCCTGGGATGGGGAAAGGGCCTCAGGTGGGACCTAATGTCACCACCTCCCTGCTTACTTTCTCTGCTTCCTTTCCAGGAGGGCCGCAAGAATGAGGTGCTGCTGTCCAAGGTGAAAGCCAAGGCCTCCTGAAAATTCCTAGACATCAGCGTATGTCACTGATTTTTTTTTTTAACTCCATATAGCAACCCCAAGATGGAGAGAGATGGTTCTGAACACTACAGTAGAGACGCAAGTGTCATAATCTCAACACCTGGATATTTTCTTTCTCCCATCTGCTTCCATTTCATCTCTCTGTTGTTGACGGAATCAGGCAGTGTAAACATGATGGCTTGGATAACACCTCTTCTCCTGTGAAGAAACACAAGCAGTTTTTATTCTGTATCAGTTCAACTTTTATTTCTCCAGTAACATCACACATATGAAGGTACCTGTATTTGTATGGACTCTCTGAATAAAAAGGAATTCATTTGTTCAGCAGATGTTAATTGAGCAACCAGTGAGAAGTAAGCACTGAGGGAAACAGAGGTATTAAACCCAGGCCCTGCATCTCAGGCATCCAGCAGGTGGCCCGGGGAGCAGAAACAGCCCACTTGACCTCAGAGCTTGGTCGCCTGAGATAGATAGATGATAGATAGATAGATAGATAGATAGATAGATAGATAGATAGATAGATGGATGTTAGATTTTTTTTTAAGTAAACAAAGGCTTTTAGCTGAATGACCAGCCCATGTGAGTGTTGGTCACATGGGCCCTTCACTCACCCTTGGTGCCTTTTGTTCCTGGCTCCTTGAGATGCCAGCCAGCAACAAGCATGAAAGCTCAGTGGCTGCCGTTGATTTAATTCTTACACACTACTCGAGTTTCTTTCACCAAAAATTGAAAACAGGGGCCTCATATTGAGGACACCTCCCCAAATGACCCCTTAATATGCCCTCCTTCTCACATGAGTCCCAGCCAAACGTGGGTGGTCTTGTGCATCCCTCCTCATTATGAGCACACCCTTGTGCTCCACATTCCAGACAGGTCATGGACTAAGTGCAGACACAAGACACACACCAGTCAGTGAGGTCCAGGGCAGTATGTGGTAAATGCCAGAGCAACTGGCCATGAGCAGGAACCAGAGGACATTGGAGGAAGAAGAGCAGGGAGGTGTGCAGAAACCCAGGATACTTCGTGGGGGAGGTAGGATTGCAAATGAACGGGGAGTTGCATTTTAATAAACAGAGATAGGTGGGAAGGCCCCTTTGGATAAAGTACGACTGTAATTAGAAACTGAAAAGCGCATAGGGGGAGAGTACCAGCATGCTTGTTGGGAAAGGAGAGGTCAGGCCTGTCTCTGCAGGAAAGGCAGACTGGAGGCCTCAGGAAATGAGCAGTCCAAACCAGACATGGAGCCCCTCCCGCCCTGGCAGCCCAGGATCTGGCAACACAGCCAGGTTCAGTTAACCCCAGTGTGACGTTTGTGCTTCGTTCTGTGTAAACCTCACACACAGACTGCTCAGCAACCTCTGACCATGAAAAATAAAAGCTGATGCATGTCAGGCAAATAAGGGCATTTGGTACAGTCATGGGAACATCATGCTCACTTTTAACTCTCTAATGTCTGCATTAAGTAAATCTGACATGGGCACACCTAAAAAAATCTCATGCCAGATTACCAACAGCCATTGGTTTCTGTGCCCGGGAGCAAGGCCGGTCTGCTGAGCATGGCTGCCCCCAGAGCTGAGAGGAAGCAGCAGAGGTTGAAGTGGTGCTCCCCGTGTGCTCAGCATGCCCCTCCTGGGCCAGGTACATCTTCCTCAGCGGCTCCCATGGCCACGGTCATCTGCAGACTGATTTTGAAAGGGGCCTGTGAAGTTGAAGCTAGTGCTTGCTAGAAAGCAGGTGGCACTCTGAGGGCAAGGGAGGGGACAGCAGTGTAACTACAGAATCTTCCAGGTTCAGGGAAACATCGATGTTTTCTTGTTGAGAAACTCTTAGACCCCACTCCCTAGCAACGTTTTGAGTGGTTATGAAATTGTCTATTTGTCCAAAGGCGGTAGGGAGGAGGAGTGGGTTATATTCTGGGGCTCTGTAGCCCGCCTCTCTGCTATCAGGGAAAGTATGCCGTGACTAATCCAAAGCAACTACTTAATAACCCTTTTTAAAAGTGAGGGCATCTATTGGGCTATGTTTCCAAAGTATTTCATTTGATTTGGTTTTGGTATAGGAGTTATCAGAAGATCTCTTTTCCCCTTATAATCCACAAAGCCTAATACAGATAACAAATTCATTCCTATTCCTTGGACACATCTTAAATTAGACTGCCGGAGGCAGTTTTGAGAACTGCATGTTTGCCACAGATGACCTCCAGCGTGGATGGTGCCTTTGTGAGTAATTAGGACAGCAAGCGTGCCTTATAGTCAGGCCTTACAGGCTGAAGTGATGCCCCAAAGGCCCCCTTCATTTCAGAAGCCACTCAGGAGAGTGCCTCCCAGGACATCTTGTGTGCCCAGAGTATGGCTGGGTATTGAGCTAAGTGCAGAGACTTTTCTGGATTAAAATAAAAAATGCCTAAGTTACTTTTATGAAATGTGTGCTTCCGGAGGAATGAGGTTTCCCCGGGAAGCCTTTAGCCACCCCCTTCTGTCAGAGCCGTGAGCTTGCTAACATGGCAGCCTTCCCGGGGCCGGCCGCCCAGGACCCTAGCACTCTCTGCCAGCATCTGCATCGGGCACCACCTCCCTACACGCGTCTCATGGAGTACCCGGGGCAGCCTTGATCTAAACCAAAATCAGAGCTGCTGAGCAGTACAGACTAGAGGACCACAAGGTGTCTAGGAAGACATTTGGATGTATTTCTTCTTGTCCTTGCCCTGGATTCGGTCTCATGGGTCCCTGGGGTCAGCTCATTGTACTAGAGTGAGATGCCAAATGTTAGAGAACACTGCCAAGATGAGACGTTGGAGTGAGTTTCCTTTTTGAACAGAGAGGGCAGATTGCAGGTTTGTCGGGCCTGAGTTCTTGTTAGGGTCTCGTGTATGATTTTCACTGGGTTCGGTCCATTGCCCATATTCTGTGGGTAGCCACGCCCTGCCAGTGTCTACTGAAGCAGGACCAGAAGGCCGGGGAGCTGGTACAGACAGCAGGCCTTGCTCAGGCTGAGGAAGCACTCCTTGGCAAGCAGTGTAGTAGCCCTTGGGACCTCCCAAACCAGGAGCAGAGGACGGGGCAGTCCTCAGGCAGCCCTCTACTACCTGGCAAAGCACCATCCCCGTGATCTCTGGTTGAATATCGATGGATCACATCTGTAGTGACCAAAGCAGACCTGCCAGAAAAGGCACTATGGACCATAGGCACGCGTGGCTGGTAAACATGGGCCGCCTTGATTTCTGTCACCTGGACGTGGCCTTGTCTTGCCCTCTCTACAGGTGACTGGTGTACATGGGAAGTAGATATGCTAGCAATAAACTTTAACAGGTACTTCGGCTGAGGCTGAGGGGCAGTGTTGGTTTGAAGCGTGCTTTGAGGAAGAATAGTAAGGAAGCGCTTACTTGCGTCCGGGGTTGACTTCAAGGTACAAGCACATCTGACTGCACAGCAGTCCAGTGAAGAGCCCCAGCATGGTGAGGTGCCCATCGTCTGTCTGTGTGCCTGGGCACTAGTCAGGTGGGGTGCCTTATTGGAAGCATCCTTGGAGCCCCCCAGGCCTTCTCTCAATCCTTTTCCCCAAGTCCAGAGCATTTCTTCTAATAGCACATAGCGACAGGCTGAAAAATACTATGTAAAAAATCATGTTGTCAGGGTCCCCACTCTTCTCATGATAAATGTATGAAAGCGTTGAGGGGATCTGGTAACTGGACTATGGCTCATTTGACAGTGTGGGGAATACCACGTCAGTTTTCCACATCAGCCTTACATCAGTTCCTCAAATGCGCCGAGCTCACACCTGCCCATGGCTGTTGTCCTTGCTGCTTCCTGGACCACTGTCCATTTGAGGTCATGGGCAGTGGCTTTCCAGGCAGCCTGACCCGCTACAGACCCACTCGGTGTCTGCCTGCGGCCTCGATCGCACTCTGCCTTCTCCGCTGTTGTCTCCCTTGGTGGCACATGCTGCTGTTTGATCGCTTAGTCCTTTGTGAAGTCTGTTGCCTGCCCACCCCACTCCAGTGGAAGTGTAGTGGAAGCAGGGACCTTGCGGTCCCCCCAGAGTCTGGCTCGGGTCATTGGCCAGCAAATTCTGGTCGGATAAAAGAGCTTCTCTAAATTGCAACTTGCATCTCTGGATTAGCAGAGTTTAGACTGAAACTTTTGTCTGCTTTATGCTGTGTTTGCATACGGTGGACGGTTTTATTCAGCAGCTTGAGAATCTCAGTGTGTTTGTTATACTCTAACCTCTAAGGTTCGGATGTCAGAGGTGTCAGGGGTCTCAAGCCTTTCAAAGAAATCACCTTCCACGTGTGATTTTTCTCCCCAGACAGAAGGAAAGAGAGAGGGAACACGCAGATGTCAGAGATTAGATCATGTTTTGGCTCAAAGTGTGTCATGAACCTAAGGGTAACTTGACGGGTTGAAATGACTCAGCCAATGAAACCAGGAAGTAGGGAGCAGCACTGGGATGTGGTGTTGGCAGAAGTATGAACAGTACAAATCCATGGAGGACAGTTGGATAATATCAATGAAAAGTACAAATGCACAAGCTTTCTGAGCCAGCAATGCTGCTTCTAGGAATTGTTTCCATATATGAGGATTTTTACTGCAGCATTATTTGGAATAGCAAAAAGATGGAAACTACCACCAACGTAGGACAATGGTTCAATAAATTATTGGTGAATCCATACAATGGGATGTTAAACTTAAAAGAACAGAGTCACACTGTATGTACTGCCATGGGATGATCCCTAAGGTGCATGGTTCTTGGTATAGTAGGGTTTGTTATTAACAATGGGAAGGGGATGGAGAAAAATGTGTGTCAGTGGGTGGACACGTGTGTGTATGTGGTGTAGACATGCTCATCTGTCATGCATATCTGCATATGCCTAGACTGTCTGAGAAGATACACAGGAACCTGACAGCTTTGGTTGCCTCTGGGAAGAGGGGTGGGAATTACTTTTCACTGTATATCTTTTGTACCTTTTGAATTTTATACCATGTACATGTATTATCTATTCAGATAATAAAGTTTTTAAATTTTAATTTGATTTAATTTTCTACAAAATAGAAACATGACAAGATTCTTGTTTGGTAAGTCTGCTTTCCTTATGAATTTAAAGCCCTATCCCCAAAGTAATTAAATCTCTCCTGTTCTTGGGTCTTGGGGGAAATAGGGAAGGGGAAAGGGGACCATCCTCCTCTGACAGAACAGCTGTATGGAGATGAAGCAGTGAGGATGGTTCTGCTCTGATTGTGTGCATGTGTTGGGTGGCAGTAAGGCGGCGGGGGGGGGGGGGACAGTGGACTGTGAAGTGGCCACACCCCGTAGGGTTGCCCCTCTCTTTTGAGGGTCACAGCACCACCCCTGTTCCTCTGGCTTTGAGGTGCAAAAGATGGAGACAGTACCCCTGAGCCAAAGTGACTTTCCTGCTGGCAGCACAAGATGCATTAGGAGAGCTTTCTGTTCTTACAAGTTGCTGGGGAAGGACAAGGTGTCTGGAGCAGCCTTAACCTTTTGAGACCATGAGAAGAGACATCCCGATACCCTGAGCTTGACTGAAAACATGGGAAGAGCCTGGCTCCCTTAAGGCATGACGAACCTCTTGAACCAATCCAGGGACCACTCACCCCTGTATTTCTTGTTCTGTGAGAAAAACAAATACTTGACAACTCAATCATTCAATCAACAAATATTTGAGGTTCTATTTTGGGTCAGGCTCTGGGAATACAGCAGTGAACAAAGAACTTAAATACACTCCAGCAGGGAAGACATACAAGCAGGGTGGAATGTAAGCTATGAAACATGTTGCTCCAGCCTGCTGATTAAGGAAGAAGCATGGAGAGTGTCTGGTTTGGTAGTGATCTGCAATTTTATAATGAATAGTTAGGGGCTGCCTTTACATTCTTTACTGGGAACTACCTTGGTTTTCATTCTGGAAACTTCACCAGAGCGCCGGGTAGTTTGCTGGCTACTGATTCTATCCAGGCTTGCCGTAGATGACACCAGAGCATCTGGCTTACAAAATGTCCCCTGTCCCTAATAGCCTCTTTCACCTCTTAACCACCCTGATTTTCTTTGAATTCTACAAACTGCATATTTTGCATGCTTTCATTTTCGTCATGTAGAAAACCAGGTATTGGTTCTACGGTTTAAAAACTATGGGTAGTTTCTCTGCATGACTTTAATACTGGTATATTTTTTTAAGATTTATTTGAGAAAGAGAAAAAGCATGAGTTGGGGGAGTGGCAGGCAGAGGGAGAGGGGAAGTAGACTCCCTGCTGAGCAGGGAGCCTGATGCAGGGCTTAATCTCAGGACCCTGGGATCATGACCTGAGCTGAGGGCAGACACTTAACTGCCTAACCGACTGAGCCACCCAGGCATCTCTAATATTGTTATCTTTTAAAGATACGGTTCACATGCTTTCAGCTTAATTCCAGTAAGAAATTGTTTTGTATTTTCTAGATTTGTGTGCTTTGTTTCAGAAGTTTGAATCGCTAGTGTTTTTATGATCAAAATCCAGTCTAGAAAAAACCGTCTGTTGTTTGTCTCTTCAGGATATCTGTGTTCTTAGCATTAAATAAATATAAATAAGCTGATGAGAAGTGAGGGAAATGCCACAGAGGGGATACTGAGTGTAAAGTTGTTGAGGTAGAAGCAGGCCCAGCAGGTGAGTTTTGAGGAACGTGAAGGGTATCTGTGTGGGAAACCATTGGAGGGTTTGGGGATTTCAACAGGGATGCCTTGGCAGCTGTGCTGACCACAGACCTGGGAGACAAGGGCAACAGCAGGGAGCTCAGATAAGAGATGACTGATAATCTAAATGGAAACAGAAGTCTTATGAGACAGTACTTAGCCTTTTTATACCACACTCTGATTTTTAATGTTCTACCTTTTTCCCATATACAGCTCTGAATTATTGGTCGCCATTCTTCACTCCCCCAGAATGAACACCTTTGTCATGGCATCCGAGTGGGTGGAGTCCTCTTCCCCATCCCACTACTTTGGGCTTTTGCTTGGTTTGTGGGTTGTTAGCAGACTTGATATGAGCAAAGGTTTAGAAGTGTGCTTGGGTGGTTGGGCTTGCCCACTTGCACACCCATCTTGATAATATCATACCATGCTGGCCCAAGGAAGTCGAGGGACGCATGGAACAGACCTAGGCCCAAACAAACTGCTGCTTAAAGCTGGACCCAGAAGAGTGCAGCCAGGATCAGTGAGATCCCAGCCAACTCCCAGACATAGCAAGAAATAAGTTTGTTGCTATCTGTATATCACCCAGATTTTGTAGTAATTATGTACAGTTAGAACATAGCTGACTGGGGCACCTGGGTGGCTCTGTTGGTTAACTGTCTGCCTTTGGCTCAGGTCATGATTTTGGGGTCCTGGGATTGAGCCCCACATCGGGCTCCCTTCTCATTGGGGATCCTGCTTCCCCCTCTCCCTCTGCCCCTCCCTGCCAGCCACCCCTGCTCTGTTTCTCTCTCAAACAAATAAAATATTTAAAAAAAAAAAAAACATAGCTAAGACAACCACCAAAGTGATTTCATGATCGGTTGTGACCTGAAGTTTAAAAGACACTTCTCTGTACAAACCAGCATTAATGTGGACGGACCAGGTCAGGGGCCAGAAGATCAGGCTTCTAGGGGTGGTACCCACATGTGGCATAAATGCTCACACTGGACAGCAATCAGGATCAGAATCCAAATTCCCTTCAGACATGCCTGAGGAAACCTGGAGGCCATGTTAAAGGAGAGAAAAGTAGCGTACTTTATCCATTATGCATGACTACATTATAAAATAAAATGGTTAGCCATATCCATCCTACAGACCTGGAACTTTGTGAAATTGGATTCTGACATGAAGATATTTCAGCAAATGAATCTCAACAGAGAAGAGACTGATTCCTCTTATATCTTTTATGTGAAATGCATGATGTATCATAAGACCATTTCTTGAAGCACCTTCCAATGAAAGAATAAAATTCCAAAAGATGACTTCAAGAAGGCTGTCGTAGGGAGCCAGACCCGGCACCTTTGTGGTGTCCCAGCCTCTAGCCACAAAGGAATAGTTGGACCACATACTCATCCCTGCCTGCCTTCAGAATCCCTCAACAGGGCTGACATGGAGCAAAGCTGGGACTGTGGGTGGTTTGAGGTTGTACAGGCCTCAATTGCAAAAACACAAAGTTCGGTAAACTGAGGTGGTTTCTAACTCAGTGACAAAATCTGATCTGACTCAGGGCTAGCTAGATATTTTAGTCTTTTCTCACAGTATAAACGTATATTTTACTGCACAGGTTGAATAGAGACTGTTGCCCCCCAACGGAGCTGGGGGTGTTAACCTAATTTATGCAATAGGCGCCATATTGTCTTTCAAATACTTAAAAATTCTAAATTCCAAACCCCATCTGGCCCCAAAGATTTTGGAAAAGGCAATGTGGACCTCTGTTCCCTGATAAACCCCAAAGTGTAGGTCCTCTATAGTATAAGCTTAAAGAATATCTACATACCTCAGATATCCAGTCTGAGCCGACGGTGGAGTGGGCTGTCTTGCGTAAATTGAAAAACCTAATCAGTTAGCAACCACCGCTTCTCCAAAGTCAGATGGATTGTGGCCAGCATGACTTAGTCTAGGTATCCCCCCTCATCCAGGGCCTTGGACCCCTATATACTTGGGCCATATTTGGTATTTTCAGGAAGGCCAAGATTCGCTATGGCAGTTTGGAGGTGGTTGTGTCTTAGCAGTCATCCCTGTTTCAATGGCGTGTGTGTGTGTGTGTGTGTGTGTGTGTGTGTGATCAATCATACATATGAATGATTTTGAGCCTAGAAATCAACGCTTCAAAAGTATTTTTATTCCACATACAAGTCCATATGGTGAAGTAGTGGGAACATTTCTCATAGCTGCTCTCCCCTGTACAGAAGCAGAGAAAGGACCCCCTCTCCCTCCCCCCCAACCCCCCCGCCCCCCCCATCCTCAACACTGGCCAACTGCACAGTGGAACCACCTAGGGAGCTTTAAAAAGCACTCCTGCCTGGGTTTCTCCCCCCAGAAATGGCAATTTAATTGGGCTAAAGAACAGTCTAAGCATCCAGCCCTCTTACTGATGAAAAAAAAAAAAAATTGGAGGACGCAATAATATAAATTACCAGACCTCTTCTCCTCTTCTCTGAAAGTCCGATTCAGTAGACGTGGGCTGTACTCGACACTTTTTTTTTCTTTCTTTCTTTTTTTTTTTTTTTTCTCAAAACCAACGTTTAGATGATTCCCATCTCCCAAGTTGGGATGAGCTGCCTTGGAGATCAGGGAAGGTAAGTTGAATCAGGTGGGTACAGGGTGAGGGAAAGGGCCATTGGGCAAAGGAGACAGCCTCCTGGGTGCGCCCCAAGGCGGGCCCCTGGGACCCTGTGCTGAGGCGTGTGTGTGTGTGTGTGTGTGTGTGTGTGTGTGTGTCCGTGTCCGTCCCTTCCTCTCAGAGGAAGAGGGTGGGAAACGGGAAGGGCAAGGCAGCCTTGTGCGCCCTTGTGTGCGGCCCAGCCCCGAGTCCCGAGTAGCAAGGAGAGCGCCCTGGGAGAAGGAGCCTGGCGGGTTAGCGCCTGCCCCAGAGCCTCGGGCACCGGGCACCGCCGCTCCCACGGCCGGGCCGGCCTCGGGTCATCCCCCAGGGCCGGGTGGGGGGCGAACCCCGCGGCCACTCGCCCCGCCGGCTCTCCACGCGGTCTACCTCTGCTTGCTGAAGAGGCTCCTGAAGGCGTCGTTGTAGTTCTTGTTGAAGGCCGTGTAAATCAGGGGGTTGAAGAAAGAGTTGGAGTAGCCAAGCCACAAGAATATGCTTTTCCAGACGGGGGGCAGGCTGCAGGCGCAGAGGGGGCTGATGAGCGCGGCCAGGAAGAAGGGGATCCAGCACAGCGCGAAGACGCCGATGAGGATGCCCACCATCAGGGCGGCGCGCTGCTCCTTCTGCTCGCGCCCCGCCGCCCCGGCCCCGCGCACCTGAAAGGCCGCCGCTGGGCGACGCGCCCTGAACACCGCCTCGGCCTCGGGGGCGGCCTCCTTCACCTTGGAACAAAGGAAACGTGCCATTAGCCCCGAAAGCCTGACTGATGCCGGGCCGAAGAGCCCCAGGGGCTGCCCCAGGGCGCCCAGCTCCCCTGCGGCCTCCTTCCAGGCGCGCTTGGACCCTGGTCCCCCGAAAATGCTGGGCGGAAACGGTCCTGAAACTGCAGGTTAAAATAGGCCCTGAAGGCTCTTCTGGGAGTGACAGTGGCAGGCCCCGCGGTGTCAGGTGATAAGAGGTAAAGGGGGGGAGGCGGGTAAGAGCGGGAGGCCCAGGCCACAGGCCAGACCCGCTGGCCCGGCGCGGGAGGCCTCGGGAGGCGAACCCGGAGCGCGGGCCCAGCTCACTTCCATCCGAGATTCGCGGAGCGGCCTCCGACTGGGGCCAGGACCCCAAAGGAAACGGACCCCAGCCCGGGCCAGGCACAAAGTTTGCAGCTGGAGAGGCAGCCTGTAAGCACCCGGATTGCAGGAAATTCTACAACTATGTGCTAAATGGATTCTGTGTGGATTCCGGGGGGTTCTGTACTGCCCAGCTTTCAGAAGACAACTGTCAATGCCTTTGTGGGGATAACCCAGACCGTTTAAGGAGCCCCCGGCCCAGTGTCCCCCCTGCCACCCCATCCTTTAGCTATCTACCTCTCAGTCTCAGAGGCCACCAGCCCTCTCAGAGTGGCCTTTCTGACCCTCCAAACTCAATCACATCTCCCTGGTTGGTACCACTTTCTCCTCTTCCGTGGCATTTTGTGCGATTATGGCCATTACATCTGCCCCCCACCCCACCCCCACCCGGGTCCAAGCTGAACCAGGCACGGACTGTGTCTTCCTCGAACACACGGGCCCAGCAGCAGCACCTGGTGCCTGGCGGGTGCTCAGGAAACAGCTGCTGAGTTAACATGACATCTGCATTTCCCTTCCTGCCTGGGTGCTGCCGGCCAGCCTTGGCGGCAGGTGCTGGGGACACACAGGGAGACAGGCTCCGAGGCAAGGGTGCATTTAGCTAGACACGCCACGGACAGCCCCTCGGCCGCAGAGCGCTATACGGCCCACAGCACGTCGTCCTCTCACACTGTGTCAGGACGACCAAAGCCCAGCGGCGGAGGAGCCCCGAGGGGGCCAGGATGCTGCAAACCTGGGGTCCCCCCCTCGGCCCCACCTTCAGATTCACTACATCAGCCTGAAAACAGATCGTGGAGGTATGGACAAGACTCCTCTCCTTTCCCAGTACACACCCCCCCGCCCCCCACCTGGAGAGAGACACCACAAGGCAAGCGATGCCACTAAGACCAAACCGCATTCCCCACCCCCCGTCACCCTGCACCCCCCCCAGAGGCCAGCCAGAGCCCCTGGGATGAGCCCTCCCAAGGTGTGCCGGCCCCCCCGCAGGCGGGCGTGAGCCCCATGTCCCCATTCCCCTTTAGAAGACACATACTGGCCAATTCTCTCATCGTGGGCCACCACACATGTCATCCTGAACCCCCCCCCCCCCCGTGATAGTTAGCTGTCCCCTGGGGAGGGAACACTGTTAGCAGAGCAGGAGCAGAAGTGGAAGGGGACATGCTTGTGTTCCTCCCTCTGGGCTCAGTAATGGGCACTTCCCAGCCACTTCTCTGCTGACCTAAACGGCCTCCTGGGCACTGGAGGCCCTCCCGGTGCGTAAGGGAAATTCCAAATCCTTGGTATGCTGCTGTGGTAAAGAAATGGGGTGAATTCAGTTCAAAAGGGCTCCTGGGGGAAGAGAACCAGAAAAAGGCAAATTCACTGATTAAGTTGGTTTAAAATACCTGGCCACCTGGCCTCCAGCACTGCGGCGGTTAGCAGAATCCAACTCTGCGCCACCAGGGCATGTGTTTGCTAGACCCCTGCACTCCTAGCTTTCCACCTGAGCCTGCTACGGCCTGTGCAGAGAGAGAGAGAGAGAGAGAGAGAGAGAGACGCTGGAAGACTGTAGAATCTGAGAGGGAGGGGCAAGATGGCAGAAGAGTAGGGTCCCAAGTCACCTGTCCCCACCAAATTACCTTCAAATCATCCTGAAGATCTACGAATTCGGCCTGAGATGTAAAGAGAGACCAGCTGGAATGCTACAGTGAGAAGAGTTCGCGCTTCTATCAAGGTAGGAAGACGGGGAAGACTGTAGAATCTTTCCAGAAACGGCTTTAAAGAAACTGAGTCGACCTGGCTGGGATGGTCTTGATTTGCAAGGAGACTGACTAGCTTGGCTTTCATTATCTGAAGCGTAACATCCAACAGAAAACCAAAAGAGGCTCAGAAGAGCTCCAGAGAAGTTACTATAAAACAGATTCTTTACTAAAGTCTTGTAAGGGATGGCTTGAATTCGTTCTCACATCAAACTGTTGAGGTATTATCATCTCCATCTTATTTTTTATTTTTTTATTTTTTTTAAAGATTTTACTTATTTATTCATGAGAAACAGAGAGAGAGAGAGGGAGGCAGAGACACAGGCAGAGGGGGAAGCCGGCTTCATGCAGGGAGTCCGACGTGAGACTCGATCCCGGGACTCCAGGATCACACCCTGGGCCGAAGGCAGGCGCTAAACTGCTGAGCCACACAGGCTGCTATTTTTTTATTTTTTAAGATTTTATTTATCTATTCATGTGAGACACACAGAGAGAGGCAGAGACACAGGCAGAGAGAGAGAAGCAGGCTCCATGCAGGGAGCCCGATGCAGGACTCGATCCCGAGACTCTGGGATCACACCCCGGGCCAAAGGCAGGCACTAAACCACTGAGCCACCCAGGGATCCCCCCATCTCCATTTTAGAGCTGAGAAAACACCGTGAGAAGTTAAATACCTTGTCCAAGATCACCCAGCTGCTTACTGGGTGGAAGAGCTAGAAGTCAAAGGGGAGTATTCTGAACCTGAGACCACACTCTTAATCCCTACCTGTTGTTCTGCACCTTTAGTAAAGGTGACTGATCTGGATGGGTTCCAATGGAATCTTTTTTCTTTTTTTTTTTTTTAAGATTTTATTTATTTGAGAGAGGGAGAGTATGAGTGGGGGAAGGGGCAGAGGGAGAAGGAAAAGCAGACTCCACACTAAGCAGGGAGCCCAACCAGGGCTAGACCCCAGGACCCCGAGATCATGACCTGAGCTGAAGGCAGACACGTCACTGAGTGAGCCACCCAGGTGCCCTAGTAGAATCTATTTTAAGGATACTCATGCTTGAGATTTTTTCAGGATGGACGTATATGGCTTCCTGGTGATGTCTAGGGTCTCTGGCTGCAGCTCTGGGACCGTCCCTGAGCTTCTCCCTCTTTCCTCTTTGGTCTTCTCTCTCCTCAGCCTCCTTACCCTGACTTTCCGTCTGCACACCTGTCTGAAAACTGATCACTCAGGCTTTAGGGAGCCTCTGACCTCTGGTTAGAACCCCCTAATTGGCAGAGTAGAATGCAGGCTGTTGGATGCACACAAAGGTAGGACCCGGTACTTTTGGGTCTAGCTATAAAAGGAGTGGTGCTCCAAGTACACAGAAGTTTGGAGACACTAGATGTCATGGCCAAGGCCATACAAGCAGGACAAAGCAGAACCATGGTGCCTGCCTAGTGGGTCCATTCCAGGGCTGTAGGGCTTCTCTGGGCCACGCTGGGACGGGACCTAAAAGATGAGCTTGCCTTAACACCTCCATAGAATCTGAGGCTTTTTCATCTAAAGTTGATTAAGGACCAAATCTGCCAGACAATATACGCTTAGATGTTTGTTAGCCACCTACCGTGTGTATGAGGACTCTGTCGTGATGATCTCCCATCAAGTCCCAATTTGAAATATTCTGTCCCACAATTCCCTGTGCTCTGATGCCAGGGCACAGATTCTGAATCCTTGTTCAGAATATTGTGTCACCACCAACATTCCAGGAGGGCAGGGACCATGACTGGCATGTCCCCTGAAGAGTCCCCCTAGCATGCAGCATCATGTATGGCATATGGTAAAAACTCAGTGCAAATTTGTTGAATTAGAAAATGGGGGATTCCTTTGGATGTCCCTTGCATTTCTGCACATTTTGCTAGTGAAGACACGGACAGCCCCAGGTTTAGACTGGCTTCTCGAGGATGTTTGTAAAGCAAACAATTGGAAAATTGAGATAGTGTCTGCCCATGGAAAAGCAGGCAGCTTTGCTTGCAACCCATTATAAAGGATTCAGGCTTCCTTTTTTTAAATTATTTTTTATTTTAAAGATTTTATTTATTGATTGATTCATGAGACACAGAGAGAGAGAGGGGCAGAGACACAGGCAGAGGGAGAAGCAGGCTCCATGCAGGGAGCCCGATGTGGGACTCGATCCCGGGTCTCCAGGATCACACCCCAGGCTGAAGGCGGTGTTAAACTGCTGGGCCACCAGGGCTGCCCTCAATTAAATATCTTAATAAGAAATAGGAGAGGAAACAGAAAGAAGAGAGATGGTCCTAATCACTCGTGGAACAAACATACCAGTCTGCGCTGTGACCCCAGGGGTCAGACATCCAGTATGGCAGCGAGACTCTTTACAAGGCTGGTGGGGTGACCGCACTAATCATAGTGACCAACCAAGCCCTACAACATCTGAGAGAGGAGAGAGGACATGAAGAGAGATTTCTGATTAGGGCTGAAGGCAATCCAGATTGTTACTCGAATTCCCCGTATCTAACCAGAGCTCGGCAGGTCAGGACCTGAAGAGCTGGGGCTCCAGTCTCTCTGCCCAGGCCTCACTGAGATACCCAAGCTCCATGTCGCACTTCCCAAAGGCACTTTAAGGAGATAACTAACCAAAATAATCCCTCAAAGTGAACAGAAACTGTTTAGCTTGTCTGACAAACTAGATCAGGAAATTTCCTCCACTGCTTTTCATGTGGAAAGAAGAGAAGAGGAAGAGGAAGAGGAAGGGAGAGGGGAAGGGAGGGGAGGGAAGGGAAGGGAGGAAAGAGAAGAGAGAAAAGAGGAAAGGAAAGAGAAAAGAAGAGAAAAGAAAAGTTCAGAAAGCTTTCTTGTGAAACAACAAAAAAAAAAA